TGTTTTGATGCTTCCTTTTTCTATACACATTGAAGTTGTTCGTAAAGCTTCATTGACTTTCTGAATGCTTTCCTAGTGAGGGTGATAAGTCCCCAGCTCTTTACACCTCTGTGAGTTGGGGGTCAGCTTCTGGCTTTGATGTACAGTAGGCTACACATGACTCCTGTGACTAATTTGACCTAGTAGTGGGAAGCCATTTCAACAAAATAGTTTTAGAGCCATTGGAAGTTGTACCAGAAAGATGCATTTCTTTACATTCAATGCTTTTTTTTTTCTACTCATCTCAGAATTTTGAAGAAATTACTGTAGCCTTGTACTTCATTTCAGCTGCATAAGTGTGAACATTTCTACTGTAGTAATACAAGCTTAAAGTGCAATTGGTAACTTAGGTCACTATTTCTCAGGATATCCCAGGAAAGCAGTAGTGTTAAGCCAAGATATGTTGTATGTTGTGAGGAGCCATCAGAGAAACATCAGCTGGCAGGATCTGTACCTCAACGACCCAGGATAGGTAAGGATATATAGTAAACAGTTGGTTTAGGAGTGCCTGGAGATGATATGGTACCTTATATCTGAGCTAGCCCAATCAGTTATTGCCCTGAACTATCAGCCAGGCTCTAACCTTTGTCACTACATTGTAAATATCTTTTCAAACCTTGTCATGTGATTGGGGTGAGCAGCTAGAGAAGCATATTCTCAATCATTAATTAGTACAGAAACAAACCTCTTAATTCCTCTTCCCCCCCCCCCTTCCTTTTGCAAGCAATATTTAGGATCACCAAGACAGCCAGTTATCAATTTGCAAATTACTGTACCACTACTAAGTTAACCATTACTTAACCACTACCAGGTAGGCACACAAGATACCCAGCACACCCAGGGAGCCAGCAAATTCACTTTTAGCTTAGCTGTCTACCTGTACAAGATGTCCAGCTGTAGCTGGACAAGCTACCAAGTTGTCTAGCTTGGCACAGACATATTGTAAAGTTTTTGTAATTTTTTGAAAGTGCAGGCTGTCTGTTGCTTTAGTTTGCTTACATTGCATGTTTTCCTGTTATATGAGTGTCTGAATATTTCATTACTTTGCAGTCAGCTTAGTTTCAAGGTTATCTTCCCCTGGAACTAATTGCATGAATAAAGAGGGCTCCAGAATTGCCATCTCTATGGCCATTATTGTATGCTGACATGGACTGACTGCAGGCCACTGCTCTGGCAGCAACTTTTGAGACTTGGTCTTGGGTCCAGGCTTTTGAACAGCCCCTTTTTCACACTGACACACACATGCAAGCACACAAGCAGTACAAAGAAGTAAGAAACAACTACACAGCAGTGAGAAGACAGGCAGAAACATTTTTGAGAAAGGGATAGCAGAGAAATGTAAAGCAGAACCAGGCTGTTTATATAAATTCATCAAAAGCAAATTGCATGTAAAGGATAAAATTCAGAGATTGAAAATGTGAAAAGATTCATGAAAAATGAAAAGGAAATGTGTGAAACACTAAACAAATAGTTCAAAATCTGTTTGTGATAAATTAAATTTTCAAAGAACCAGACACAACCCAGCCCCGGGCTCGGCTTGGGAAGTAGAACTCCCGGAACTCCATCCAGGTACAATTCAGGTACAATAAGACTTCTAGAGAACAACATGGAGCACATAGGTGTGTCTTGAGATGAAGTGGAGAAAATGCTCAAGGAGCAAAGTAGGAACAATGCAGTTGGCACAGATGGAATTCATCTCGAGTTCTGAGAGAATGCACATCTGAGCTCAGCTTTCCACTTCAATTGATTTTTCAGTTATTTCTGTGTACAGGAGTCTTGGCAAATATATGGAAAAAGCCTAACATAGTCCCACTACAAAAGTGGCAGTAAGGAAGACCTTATTAACTCTATATTACCTATAGACCAGAGTCATTAACAAGTGTAGTAGTCAAAATATTGCAAAAAATAATTAAAAACAAATGGGCAGAACACCTGGATAGAAATGTTATAGCAGACAGTATGGTTATTGATCAGGAAGGATCTATGTAACAAATCTACAAAGGCTGTCGAGCCTGGTTCCAGGCCGGGTTCAGAGGGTAGAAGAACTCCCAAAACCCTCTCCTGGTATACTCCAGATTTTTGCTGTACCCAGTGTTTTCTTGGCCCATCTTGGATTTCTGCATGCCATGCTTACCCAGGCTTTTGATTTGGCTTGGTCCCTTTTCCTTATGTTTGCCTCCTCCATTTTGTCTCTCCTTTTTCTTTTCACAGAGAGGTTCCTTCCTTGTTGCTCGGAGGTAATTTTCATGGATTTGCACCTCACTTGTAGTTGGTTAGGGGCAAGTCCTATGTTTTCTTTCTGCACTGTTGTTAGCTTCAGGGGAGCCATTATTTGACTTTTCCAGAAAACCAGCTTTGAATGTAATAAATGCCTCTTTCTGATAGAGCCTTCATTGTCTTTCAGCTCCGGACCGAGGCAAAGATATCATGGAAGCCAGGAGCTCCCGGTGGTTGGTTGGTAGTCAGTTGTAACTAGAGAGGTTCGAGCTAGTTTCTGAGTGAATCTTTTGCAGAGTTGTTTGGCTATTTCAGTTCTTTGTTTTCTTTTAACCATGTACTGTAGTTGTCTGTATTGCTTTGCTTACTTTCTGGATATTCTCTTGGTGAGGGTGATTGTGACAATCCCCTGCTCCTTGTGCCTCTGTGCAAGGTTCTTCCTCTTGTCCCCATGAGGCCATACAGGACTCCTATGGGTGACATGACTAATTAGGGAGGGGGAAGCAATCTCGGTGAGATAGCCTCAAGGAGCCATAGAGGTCGTCCCAGTGAGAGGCATTTCATTACATTCAATAATGGTGCCTTTTTAGCTCAGAAGGATACTTAGCAATTTTAGAGTTGCTTAACACTTTCGCGCTCTCGGCGCTCAAAAAAAATCAATACCCCAGATGCTTTCGGCACTTCGCGCGCCTACGCGGTAAGACCGAAAAAGTGTACACTCTTTTGACTGTTGTCCTGACAATAATTGAAGGCACACGTATTTAAATTTGGTATCACTGTGTTCGCAATGAAATTGTCTATAAGAGCATACCTATAAAATGCCGCCCAAGCATAAGGAGTATCAACACCAAATAAAAAACTATGCAGATCACTCGCCAAGAGCGCCAAACAACAACAAAATGTTTCCACTCTCTTAATGGTTGCGAAGCCTACAGTTGTCCTACATCGCTAATTTTGGTATCATTGGAATCGCAATAAAATTCTCTACACGGACATATGCATATGAATGTTTAATATAGGTAATTGCCCACCCGCAAAAGTGTGTGAAGTGAAGAGTAGTTAGCCGCGAGTGCACTGGCGAAAACACAGGGGGGGAAATCATGCTTGGAAAGTTTATACATTTATACGTTTCCTGACCCAACTTTTCTATGTACGTATTTCTTTTTTATACCAATGTGTTCGCAATAAAATTTTCTATAAGATGAAATGTATAACATTTGTACAAAGCATGTGTAAGAGAAGCGCCAAATATAGAACCACGTCGCTCAGTATGCGTTCGCGGCAGAAACGAACGCATTGTTTTCGTTCGTTTGATGTTTGTCATGTTTATACTTGTTGAAACATTTTATAATTTGTATGACAGTGATCGCAGTAAAATTCCCTACACAGACATATACATAACACATACAAATATTTCCCACGTGTTGGATATATCAACGGCTAAAGGGAACCCACTGCCACACGGCCGCCACACCCAGAGCCACACCCGCCACACCCCCAAACATACTTTGTGTTTTTTTTTTTTTACTCATAGAAGTTTATGTGATATAATATTCATTCTGATACCAAAAAATTCGCAAATAAATTCTCTACAAAACGTATATAGTATAACTTCTTATAGATGATAAAAAATTCCAAATAGGTGTACTTACCCTGTCTATGTTGATTGAAGATCAACAGTTGAGCATTTTTTCTTCACTCCACCATCTTCAGGCTTCTGATCCTGAAGTTGCTCATCTGATGTTTCTTAGGTGGAGTGAAGCTGTTGCCGGTGGTTATTTTTTTCTCCACCCAAAATATCTTTCTTCGGTGGTACCTTGTGTAGCAAGGCGCAGCGCACAGTGCCACATCACAAGTTTTACATCCATATATCACGTCCCTCCTTTTGCCAGACTTGAAACAAACACGGCATCTTCTTTTTTTAGCCAAGTGCACGAGTTCATGCGTCAACTTGTAGTTGAGATGTTGTTCTGAATCTATAATTCTTGTATTTCTTGGATGCACTGGAGGAATATTGTCTTCTACAGGAACCACCAAACTTGTAGTAGAATCTTCTATGAAATCAGAAACATCAAGTGGTTCTATGTCCTCAATGTCCATTTCAGAATTTGTGGTTGATGAGTGGGCTTGAGGTGTTGAGGTGAACAGAGGACGCCTCGCACCAGATGGGCCGGGTGTTGAAACTGCCGCGTCAGCAGGAGGAGCTGAGCTGGCATCTATGTCGGGAACATGTGATATGCTTGTTGTTGTTGGCCATTCCTCGCTGTTCCACGCCAATAAGGCTGAGTCATAAGGCTAAGGCCAATCTGAGAGTATCCCCATCCATTTCGGTTAAAAAATGGAATTTATAGAAATATTTTTTCGATGGACGAGAAAAGTAGGCTGTTATGCGGAATCGTAAGAAAAAACGGTGACGAGTTATCTCTAATCTAAAGCGCGAAAGTGTTAAGATCACTGTTTACCAATGCTGAGTGATTTTAAATATTTCTAGGCATTATAGCAGGGAAGTTTATCTCCATGGTGGATTTAAGTATGCTCTCCACTGAGCTCCTTGCTCTGTAATTAGAGGACAGAACAGTTTGCTAAGCTACATGTTCTCATGGGACTCAGTTGTTCAGTGCTTGGTGAATAATCAGTGATCTAGGAAGGTCCCCTCAGTGGCTCCACAGGAGCCACTGAGGGGTCCATGCACAGAAACATAAATTTGTAATACTGTTTTGAAATTGGAAGAAGTCTTCACTAATGACAAGCATTAATTTGTCAAATGTGACTAGTGGTGGGTGTATTGGACACCTATGCTCTAGATCAGTACTTCTCAAAATTCCAGGTCACATTCCTCTCTTAGCAGATCTAGGCTTTCCTAACTCCTCCCCCACCATAATTGTTATAGTGGGGACATATCATCCAGACACACTTGTTTATGTGCAGTGAGAATCAACCTACTTTTGGTTTGAAACATACTATGCAGTTCCTCACACTATGATAAAACTTTCACCTCATATTATCCCTGAAATATACTTTGTGCATACCTCATACTGTTGGGCCAAGTTCTCTCAAGTCAAGCCTGGCCCTGGCTTGGGGAGTAGAAGAACTCCCAGAACCCCATCCAGATACAATACAGGTTCATACAAATACAATACAGGTTCATATGAAATACTTAACAGTAATACTGATATATTCAATTGTCTTGGGCAAAACTACTTAACTATAACTTCCTCCATTGGAGGTTCAAGTGGACCTCTCTAAGAAACAGTGCTCTATATAGCTTGAGAATCATATTTTTCCTTCATAAAAATATCTTCAGCTAATTATTACCCTTATCTACAGGTTCACAAAGATGGAGAAGTGAGGGGATGGTGTGTGAGAGGATTAAAAAGGGTTCTGCTTCTACAGATCACATACCTGTATTTCAAAAGGTAATAAATTACTGTACAGGTATTTACATATACAAGAGTTTACATTCCTGTAAAGCCACTAGCACACGTAGCGTTTCGGGCAGGTCCTTAATCCTAATTTTCCCCGGAATACGTTTGTCGAATCGTTTAACAACCAGGTACCCATTCACTGCTGGGTGAACAGAGGCTATATTTAAGGATTGGCACCTGGTCAATCCTCCCCGGCCAGGATACGAACCCAAACCAAAGCGCTCGCGAAACCCCGGGCGAGTTTCTTACCACTGCGCCGCGGAGACTTTAAATACCATTTGTAGTTTATTTTTTAACACAGATGGGGCCATTATTCACTTACAATGCTAACCAGCATATATACATTTTCTTCTGTCCTCCATGGACAGGGTTTGAGATCTTTTAGACAACATATAGTATAGTGAGTTATTGAGCACTCAACCACGGAAAGTAATTGGAATTTTGTTTTCAGTGCTATCAAGCATACATAGATTCTCATCTGTTTTACATAGACAGGGTTAGAGATCTGTTCTCCTACTTATAATGCAGTGGGTTATTGCGTACTTAACCATATGTGATTGAAGTACTTTTACAATCCTAAACAGCATACATTCTCATTTGTCGTATATAGACAAAGTTCGAGATTTATTCTACATATCGGGTAGTGGATTATTTAAAATCAAGCGTTGAATATAATGAAATGCCTTTTGCTATTGGGCCTTTGATAGATCTCCATCCCTGCTTTGTTCCCTCTTCCACATGAGGTGCAGAAGGTTTGATTTGGGCAGTTCATAAGTGAGGGGGCAGGCTGGATGGAGCCTTGAGTGTCGTATGCTATCACCTAGTGACAATCGGGTGCAGGACAGCTAGTTGCTTGTTGAGCTAATGCTTTCTGGTGGCTTTTTCCTTGGTTTTATGCCGATCTCTATTCCTGAATTTCCCTATGCCTTATAGAGGCAGATTCTGGTTTTGACTTCTGTTAGGCAAGGATGGGTCTGAGAGGCCTGGTACATCTCCAGACATCTGAGGGCCCACCAGAAAAGGACATTTCATTCAATGCTTGATTTGATATAAAAAATGATAGAAAAGACAGGCTGTCATAGAGACAAAGTCAGACATGTCATAGTCACACAGACATTGTGACAGATACATAGATGCATATTGCATATGGGGGAAGCCTCACGGCTGAGTGGACAGCACTCGGGAGTTGTAGTTCTAAGGGCCTAAGTTTGATTCCCGACCGAGGCAGAAACAAAAGGGCAGAGTTTCTTTCATCCTGACGTGCCTGTTACCTAGCAGTAAATGGGTACCCAAGAGTTAGATAGCTGCTACGGGCTGCTTCCTGGAGATGTGTGTGTGTGTTACAGAAAAATGTATGTAGTAGGCATAATAAAGGAAAAAATATTGGTTAGAAAAGCGGGGTCCAAGAGCTAATAGCTCGATTCTGCAGGAACAAATAGTAAATAAAGAAACAACGTTTCTGATGAACACAAACTTATATACATAGACAAGTCCATTTTCTTGCACAGTAGGCAACCAAGTCAAGGTCCTCCTTTCCCTACAACAAATGATACAAGCTGTTAGATGGAGAATTATCATTGATGTATATTTGTACTATGTATCCCAGCGATGCATGCAAATATAAATTACTAAGATGGCACCCAGCATTGCCTGGGTATGTGTCTGTCTCTTATTTGTCTATTTTTTTATCCATCCATCTATCCAACTATCTTTCCATCCCTCTATCTATTCATTCAACTATTTTTCCATCCATCTATCTATTCATTCAACTATCTTTCCATCCATCTATGCACCTATTTATCTATCCATACATGTATCTGGCCATCTATCCATCCATCTGTCCATTTATCCATATGACTATCCATCTGGCACTGTCCATCAGGTACACAGCTAAATCATCGTGGGGGGTCTGAATAAGGCTCTGGCACGCTGTTCCCTCTTGAATTCTGACAATCACAACCAGCCTATATTCATCCCATACCCCAGACCATTCTCTCTGCCAATTTGGGCAAGCTTGGGGCCCCAAGTGTATGGCTTCCGACTTTGAACAGATAAACAGACAGACATTCTCTCTTACAATATAGATTTGATTGATATATTATATTATTATATATATATACAGTATTCATTGTCATGCATTTCATTTCATTACAGCAAGATAAGGTGACACTTGGACACTACTCCTCAAGTAGTGTTTGTGGAGGAAAGAATATTGGATCTCAGCCTGTAAATGATATGCAACATGGGAGTAACATTAATAGAAAGAACTCAAGAATTTGCCTCATTAGACCTACATCCATCCATGGACCATTCTCAAGGTTTTTACTTAAGGTATGTTGATCAAAAAAATAAAAATTCATATCTTAACAGATGTAAAATGTGTAATAATGTATTATTATTGAGCAGTGTTTATCTTGATACCTGTTTAATAAAATTGTATTACTGCTGTCTTCAGTATTTTTTACTACCAAATACTTTTAAAAGGTGAGATATGCACATTTTTGTGCAGAATTCATATTCAGTCAATTTATATACAGTATACGTATTTAGATATTTAGAACTATTTTAGAATCGTCGCTGGTATGGCACCTCTTGTCTCAAATACTGTATTGTTCTTATTTTACTTGTCATTTTTCTTACAGCCACTTTATTGTGTTCTTTAAAAGTAATGTCATCACACCCCCCTGTGCTCGTTACACCCCCCATGCTCATTACATCCTCTGTACCCTTTACACCTCCCTGTGCTAACTACACCCCTTGTGCTCATTAAACCACCCCTTGCTCATTACATCCTTTGTACCTCCTGTACTCATTACATCCCCATGTCATTATACCATTGTGTACTCCTCTCACTACCTGAGGGGATACCTATCTTGACCATTGTCATGAAACTGAACTTGTCTAGCTGGAGTGTGGAAATTGAACTCCTAAATGCCCTTTTCAGTGTAGGTGATGACTAGTTAATTTGACTGTTTTAATCAAACCGAGATGATTAAATTAAATAATTCTAAATGCTATTAATTCTTCAGCTGGAAATGGAGGGTATTGAAAAGAAGTCACGACATCAGCATTTACTCAGAGGTTCAGAAGGGAGACGGTGCTCTAATAGAGGAGAATCGGTTAAACATCAAGAGAGCGAGACACACAGGATACCAGCTGGAAACCATGAGAGTAAAAATGAAGAAAAGAAAAATTGGAATATGAACAGGAAGGTTGATGACAATAGAAATTCTAGAGATGAAAATATTTCACAATGGGACATGAAGAAAGATATTGTGAAAAATAAGAGTGAGAAGAATGAGGCAAGAGAGGAAAATGGGAACAGTAAGAGAAAAGAGAAAGAAGCATCTGGTACTCAAAGCAGGAGCAAGAGAATCAAAACTATATTGCAGGTGAATACAAAATACAACTTAATTCAAAATGAAACTGGCAGTACAGAAACTGAAGAGAATACCAATGCTATAAGGAATGGGAAACAACAGGCTCAAAGTATTAATAAGAGTAGGAAGCAACAATGCATTTTGGAAGAAAATGACAGTTCACATCATGAAATCAAGGATGAAATTAGTCGAGATGATTTTTTGAGAAACAAATTGCATGAGGGATCTTGTGCTAAGTATAATCCTGATAAAATAAACAGCTACAAAAAGAAGAAAACTAAAGTCACATACAAAATAAAGGATAATGTAAGACAAGATTTGTCACACATTGAAGCAAAGCATAACAATTATATAGATGATATAAAGAATAAACAAGTGCAGAACAAGAAACACACTGAGACACACAAATGCAATAAAAGAACTAAGGTGTTTGAGGACACTGAACAAAATGTGACTCTGTTGACGATTATGGACTCGGATTTTGATACGCCAGAAAGAGTCGATTCAAAGCCGATTAAGGAACACAAGGTAGACAAAAAGGGAAGCGAGTTTTATTCAAAAAATAGAGCAAAGAAAAGTGAAGAAAATAACAGGAATAAGAAATCTAACGTATTCCAACAGAGTGGTAAAAATAAGAAAAGAGCAGTAAATAGCATTTCAACGTCAAGTCTCATGATTGGTGCTCCACGTGTACGACAGATGCTTTCATTAAGTCCAGAACGACACAAAGGAAGAATTTGGGCACCACTGAAAATTCCACAAGAGTCATTTATATTTCATGAAAATGAAGATTATCATGATTCTCAAGGAAAATATGAACATCCTAAACACACACATGCTAAAACCTGTAATAATACTGAAAACAATACGAACAGTGAATGGGAAATTAGACGCATAGAAATGCTTTTGGGTTCTCAATTTGATAATTCAAGTGCAACAAGCACTGTTCCATATGGTATTTATAGGAACACTGATCAGATTCAAAATTATGATACATGGGAGCAATCTCATAACAAAAGTGCCATGCCAATGTTAACAGATTCTCCAAAAAAAAATGTACAACTTACAGCAGAGGAATTAAATAATTTTGAAAATCATGAAAATGCATTGTATAATGGTGCAAGAAGGCTTGGGGAAAGAAGGTTACAAGTTCTTTATAAAGGTACTGATAAAATTCAGTTGGACAAATCTCATAAAGTTAAAGAAATACCTGTTGAAAATAAACCTAAACTTAGTACATTTACTCGCAAAATAGAAAAAATTGAAAGTGGGTTAAGTTTTGCCCATCAAAGAAAAGATAAAACTCCATACTTGGATAGGAGTTTTGGTACTTCATGGAATTTAAGCAATTTAATTAGTACTCCTAACAGTAAATCTTCATCTAAGACTCCCACTGATCCTACATTTGAAAGATCACTTGAAGATCTTCTTGAAAGTCAAGGAGGATCAGAGTTATGCTGTGTGACTGCTGATAATTCCCTAGAACTTTTGCTAAATTTTGAAATTAATAGAGAGTCAGAAAATAATAGCAGGAGCATAGCTAGGGAAGTTACTTCACATGTCTCATCACACCAGGTGTGTACTGAGAACATTGACTGCACAGCATGAGGATGGGTGAACGGAAAATGCTATTACAAATTGTGTTAGTGAAAAAGATAATTGTTTCTTGGTAAATTTAAATTTAGTATCATGTATATCTGATTGCACATTTTTGCATACCAGTTATAAAAATAAGTTGACTTCTGATCTTTTGAGTGACAAATTGAGAAATTGTGCCGAGGGTAAGTTGGATATTTTCAAATAAGGGTATAAAAGTTCAGGATATTGATTTTACTTGTACACACACTCCATGAAATTATTTTAAAGCTGTAGTTGGCTCTAAAGATCATATTATGGGTAATAATGGCTATTTCCCACAGAAGGTAACCTGCAAAGGTCTTGTTTTCATTATTTACAGTCATGTAAATAATCGTACACCCATTGGTGAGAATTCTTTTTTTACTCGTTTTCCACAAGTTAAAAAAAATACACTAATCACAGTGAATATCATGGCCTTAGAATATCTGAACATAATATTGAAAAATACAAGAATGACAGTATAAATGGTAGCTGTAGTGAAAATACAAAACATGCTTTAAATGCAACATTTTAATGTAAATGTGTTCTGCATATTTCTTTGAAAATACTGTAGCAAACAAATTAATTTCTGGAATGGAAGTTGTGCATTTAAAAAAAAAAATAAAGTTGAGAGAGTGAGATCACGAGTAGAACTCCTGATACATATGGAGGGGAAAAAATTACCAATAGCAACAAAAGTTGTGGGAGAAAATGTCAGAATAAGAAGATAGTCAATAAAATCTCAGAACACACTTAGAAGAACACAGAGTAGGTCGAGGACTTAACTGTAAATATGACATTATTAGGAAACAGTCAAAATGTTAACAAAGAAAACATTAGGCATTTATCATCGTCTAGAGGTCAGTTTTTGTAACTTATTGTTTGTTAGGGCACTGCATTATTATTATTATACATGTTTTTCTTTTGCTTAGGAATGTAATATTTGTTGGAATATATATTATTACTACTAACAAAGAGAACATCATATTCTTAGTTATTATTACCAGGTTTTTGGTAATGCATTCCAAATTTGTTTGTTTTCATTGTATGTTTCATCATTACCCTATTAATGCTGGTTTAGTTGTAAAATAAACAAGGCCGATTACTGTACCTTGCAGTATAAACAAATACATATTTATCAGTTTATCAGTCATTTAATTATTTACTGAAGTAAGAACAATGTGAAAACCTCTTTCCATCACAGATATTGAGACTGTAAATTCCTATGTACTAATGCACTGCCTTCCACCACCACTACACATTAAGTTTCCATGCTTATTTCCTACACATTCTCAGCACTGACAATTTTTTTTATCCCTCATTAATACTTTAATGGTCCTGTGAAGGTGATACTTTATAGTATTATGAATCATAATACTATAAAGTATCACCTTCACAATCTCAGTCATATTCCAAATAGGTTCTGGGTTCACAAATAGTTGATTTTCAAACATTTGGCCATTTCTAGGCACCCTTTCCCCCAGTACATTAGTTTCCTGGTGCTTAAGGCTTTGGCACCCAAGAGATTACCATGGCCTTCCAAAATTCTGGATGAAAATCTAGTTTGCTCATATTGGCACGGGAAATGCAAGATCAACCCAAAACTGAGAAAATTGGCAAGAAAGTTAGTGGCAAAACAAAAACCACTGCATAAGAAAGATGAGCTTACAAGGCAAATGATGGTTGTTACTTGGTTAACAATTGTAGTTCAAACTCATCTGGTGGCCAACAGATGGTAGATTTTTGGTGATAAATTGTCACTCGCTTTCTGTGCCTCTGTGAAAGGGAGCCAGGTTTTGGCTCTGGTCCTTGGTAGGCCAAAGAGAATTCCTGCATCTGATCAAAGACAGTTGTGCAAAGTACTTGGAGAAAATATTTTCTGATAAAGTCTCCAGTCCAGCAATCACCTTTCAAAAAGTCACTATCAATTGCCTTAACACTCTTTAAAAAAAAAGTCTGACCCAAAACCACTGACTTCTACAGCAGCTTGTGACACTGACAAGTGACTCACAGGTGTTTGCCACCGACCCATCAAACGTAGCCAGTGACACTTAAAATAACCAGCCACCCACTGTTACTGATGCATCACCTCCCTCCGCCACCCATGCATCGCCATCTTCTGCCATTTCCAACTAGATCTCTTCACTCAAGAACAGTTACCAGTAACTATGACAAGTAATTATCAAAAGAAGGCACCAAACCAGGAAGGCTATGTAGCACCATCAAATGTGTGGAATAATCAGAGGGCGCTAAATATCACCAAGGATGCCAATACAAGAACAGAAACGCATAAGGCGAACGATATCAAAGTATCCGATTCACCAAGAATTCTATCGAGGGACAAGTGACCACGAGGGGCGGTTGGAAAGCAAGACACACACTCGTCCTGGAAGTCAGGACATTCAACAAGGATATGCACGACCGTAAAGTAACTATGACAAACAGGACAACTACCTCATTCCAGGTAAATAATATACCATGTTTTTATATTATACAGTATGCCTGAAAAAAAATTTGAGGATTTTTGATGGCCCAGGAACACATCTTCCATTGATAGCATTGTGCCTATGGAAAATCTCGCTTTGTATTTCAAACAACTACAACTGCTTTATGAATACATTCTCAGAATGTAACACATTCATAGTCAGAGAACTGCCTGTACATACAATTCAGAAGACAAGTGTGTGTTTCAACACTATAAAATGCTAAAATATCACATTCTTTTTATTTGGAAACAAAACCTGGTAGAATATATCAAAATTTTTACATTTTATATGCACTATTTCAAATACTGTACAGTATCATTTCACATAAACTGATTAAAGATAAACTGTTTTCCAAACATGAAAGCAGTATGCTTGGCAAAGAATGATTTGAAACCTGGATCTTCAATAAATATATATCATTGTAATTCCTTGTTATTTATTAATCTGGCATTCTGGACATTCATATTGCCTTCTTTACATTTGGAACAAAGTACTGTATATATAAAACACACTGACAGCTTCATCTCCAAACTTTTAAAGCTTTACATCCATCAATAATAATTAATGAGATTCCTTTTTTATCAGACTAGGTCCAAGCAAGAACAGTCAGACATTTATAACACAGGTGAAAAAATGCACTTTTACAAGACTGAGATAAGAAAACAATTTCCACATTTGGCTGGATATATGAAATGTAGTTTTAATGACAAGGTGGGAATGAAACTGTTTTATTAAGACTAATTAAAACCAAATTAGAAAACAAGTTTTGGAGGAGATCTGAACTTGAGACCATTGGATTGTCAAATAACTACTCAACCATTGTACCCATTAATATGGTACTCTTAGTACTGTACATTAATATATTTGTTCTTTATGAACCAGTAGATCTGCATTAAAATGTTTGAAAATGCACAAAGTAGTTTATCTAAACTTAATTTGGCTTGGGCAGTGATCAAAATTCCTTCTGGCATTCACCAGCATAGCAGTGTGATGGGAGCAGGGACCAAAGAACAAATTTTGTTCATTTTCAAAAATAATCCAAATGAGATACAGTATATTTATGTTGAGGTAAAAAACCAGCATTGAATGTAATGAAACTCCATTTTTTGGATGAGCCTCAGAGTCTCACTGGAGCTATCAGACTGATATACGATATATTAGTCAGGGGCATCAGTCAATTGGAATTCATCCTACCAGGGACCATGAGCCAGAACTTAGTCCCCCTCAGAGAGGTACAGGGAGCAATTCCCTATGGAAACCCTTATGTGGTTGGGAGCATTCCGTGTCTGCCATCAACCGGGGTTAGGCACCCGGAAAGACAGGCATAACAAAGCAGACCCCACTTGCCAAGAAGTTGAAACCGATGATTGAACAGAGGCAGAACTCCCCCAAATTCTAAAGAAACAAGCAAACATCATACACCGCCGCCATGCCACTTATCTGCGCAGCCCTCCCCTCCCTGGGAGGGAAAGCCCAGGACCCCCACTGCGCCGCCTACTCATACCTCCAGTTCGGAGGCTGGGCATCAAAAGCAAAATGGAACCACCGACCGGAGGGAGGGAGGGAGGATGCTAGGGAGCCTCCGGGGTTCACCTAGCGTTTCATTACAATACATTCAACACTGGTTTTCTGTGGGAAGCCCCTTCAGCTCCCTGAAGCTACTTAACCAAAGACAAGTACAGTAAAAGAGGGACTTACCCTGGAGGTGGACGCCACACGTACATCAACTCAGTCGAGAGAACTGGCTACAACCTGCAACCCAAAGCCACACACAAATGACTGGAACCAGGAAAATTGACCAGATAACGGGTGGACAGAACCCTGTTCGACCTCCAAAACCCTGCGCCTGAATATCAGCTCAAGACACGGCAGCCAAAGCAGCAAACATACGAACGTCATGGGCACGAAGGTAGACCACAGGCTGGCTAGACTTAATAACCCTGCAGATGACCTGTGAGACCCTGGAACTGGGAACAAGGGAAACCGGATCAACCCAAAGTGCGTCCCCCGGCCACAGGAGCCGAGGCGCACAGATAACGGCGAAGAGCAGCAACAGGACAACACATGATGCATCCCCAGCCTGACCAACCAAACATCAATGACCCAGGGACTCTTCCGGAAGGCCGCCGTCTCATTCTTCACCAGAAAAGGAGGAGACGGCTGCAAACGAACAAACTAACCACTAGGACCGAAAGAGCAGAAAAATCTGTGCCAGAGGAGAGCATGAAGCTCACCAGCCCGACCCCCTTGAGGCCAATGCCAGCAGAAACAGAGCCTTGGAAAAACAATCTTGAACCGAAGGGGCCACCACAAACAAACGAGGAGAGAGAAGAGAGAGCACCTGGTCCAAGGATCAGGATGGCTCAGGCGGCACACGAGAAGGCCGGAGGTGAAACAAAGCACGAGAAAGGTTGCAAAACGGGGGCCAAAGTGACATCCACTCCCGAACGCAAGCTGAAGAGGCTCCACCAGCACCACACGATAAGAAGTGACAGTATTAGGCATCAAATGACAGTCCTGAAAAAGCCAAGAGAGAGAGGACAAAAGAACTCGATCAGAAATTGAAGACAACCTACGAAAAAGAGAGAAAATGGCAAAAAGAATGTCAGGAAACTTCATACTGTCGCCAAGATGAAGCTCGCAGGAGGGACACCATTAACGAAGCCACCTGATAACCATGCACGTGGTGATATACCCGCGTCAAAAAGACTAGACGCGAAAAGTGGAGTAAATCAAACCAGCCACGTACTGGACCAGTCCGATTTGCTGAAAGAGGTGGAGCCATGGAAAACGCCCAGGGTTCAAACACCGAGCAAGCAGCACCTGAAATCAAGGCTGAGCCGGCCACCAAGGAGCCACCAGGACGACTCTCCTGTGGTAAGTCTCCAAACTAGCCAGGACCCGAAGCAACAGCTGGACCTGGGGAGGAAGAGGTATAGGTAACCCCACCTTGACGGCTCCGCAGTCGGGGCAGGAAGCCCTATAAATCGAGAGACGCCGAGACCATGCCGACTTGAAGCAGTCCACCTCCGGGAGCTCGTACAACTGGCAGAACCAATGGAAGGAGTCGGCGTTGACCTTTCATTCTGTGGACAGGGGAATGAACTGAGACAGGCCGTCCGCCAGGACGTTAAGACACTCACCAGATGTGAACTGCAGCAACACCGCTAGTGGGAGACATGGAAGCGGTCCGAGAGTCCCACACAAATCCCAGCCAGGCCTGAACCTGGGATGGAATCAGATGGGACTTCCACCAGTTCACCAGGAACCCAAATCCGATCATCTGGGAAAGAACCACACCCTTGGCAAAAAGACCGGCTGGCAGCCCACACCAACCAGTTGTCGAGGTAGGCCAGAACCCAAACCCCTAACAGATGCAGACGGGTCACCATGACCCGGGTAAGATGCATGAATACACAAGGTTCCAGATTCAATCTAAAGGGAAGGCAACAAAAGGGGGTAAGCCTGCCGTGCCACAACAAAACCTAATCAGTCCCTGAACTACAGATGAATTGGGACATGCCAATACACGTCCTGGAGGTCCAGACACACCATCCAAGAACCCAGCTCCGAAAGAAGCAGGACTTGGGACAGTGGTCATCCAAAAGGAGGGGCAAGGAATCCAGGGGTTCAGATGGGAGAAGTCCAGAATGAACCTCAGATCTGCACAGTTCCGTTTTGGTACTGAAAACAGGAAGGCGACCCACCTGAGGAACGGGGTCATTTCCCCGACCAGGCTCCAAGATGACCCGACGGAGTGAAGGGAAAGAAGCCTGCCCGGCCACCCCTGAACCCCTCAAAGGAGGAGGAGCTGCCCAACGCCACCACAGGCAGGAGGATATGACCAAAACACCCACAAATTGTGGGACAACGCATGAACTTACAGCGCGAGCCTCCCCCCAACGCCCCGTCAACTGAGCGAACCGCGAAAGAGGCAACGACCCTTACGTGAAGCCAACCACCAAGCAGCACGCCGACCAGATGACACCAGCTCCGAAGGAGGTGCCGTCTCAAACTGGCACCAAAGGCTCACCTCAACCAGAGACCTGGTATGACCTTCCGAGAAACCCTAGAATGGCCACCACAAATAGGCAACAAATCCGACATAGAACAATAACTAGACGAGGCTTCCTGCAGAAACTGCGTGACAGCAGACTCTGCCAAACAGCGACAGACAAAAAGGAGACGAAAACCTAAGAGTCAGGGGTCCAAGCAGAGTCCAAGGAGTGAGCAAGCACGGCCTGACGGAATGCGAGGCGATAGGCAAATAACAGAGAGACTGCCTCTCGGAGTATCAGCACAGCTTCAACAGCGCGGCTGACGCCCGAGCAGCCGAGGCTAGCGCCCCAGATGAAGACCCAGCACTCAATGCCTCAAAATCCACCTCAAACCAGTCCGAGGACAACTCGAGAATGGAAGAAGAAGTGCAAGACCGATACCAAATTCCCACTAGTGCACAAGTCCTCAGCTGCCAAGGAGGCTGAAAGAGTGGGAAATTGCACATGCAGCTGAACATGGCCAACATCCCGAGGAAGCACACGGGTCAATTGAACAAAACCCATTTCACGCTCCCTGCGAAAAGAAACGGCAGTCTGCAAGCCAGGATGACACCGGAACTTCATAACGCACCCAATACGGGGAAGAAGAATCGTACTCAAATGAAAACGGATCCATCACAGAGGCAAAATCCGGGTTATACAGGAGGTAACCCGCAAGAGCCTTCTGCACCTCCTTAGGCAGGACGCAAGAAGCAGAAAACCTTCAGAAGGAAGGAGCTGAGGAACTCAAGGGAACCCGGAACCGAACCTAGGGAGGAGCCCACCCCAAATCATACTCGTGCAGAGGAGGTGGTAAGAAAACCACTCTCCCTGCAACAACAAATTGCACAAAGAAGGAACCAAAATCCAAGCGATATCAAAAGGTGGGGGGCAAGCCCACCAGGTCAACTCCTCCCCAGCCCTGGAAGCCTCCAAACCAGGCCCTGGGGCAGAGTCATTATCCATGCGCTTTACCCCTGAAGAAAAGGCAGAGTCCAGGGAAAAGGCAGCAAAGGAAGGGATCTGCTGGTAAGACCCAGAAGCCTCAGCAGGAGGAACAGGCTCGAATGCCTCCGTCTCCAACTTGAATGGGGCAGCCCCCGAAGCCGCCCGAGCCTCATCACCAACTAAACCCAGCCCTGACTCCGAAACCCTCAGATATTTGGGTGTGCTACCTTTCTGGGTGCCTAACCCCAGTCAATGGCAGACATGGAATGCTCCTTACCACATGGGGATTTCCATAGGCCATTGCTCCATGTACCTCTCTGAGGGAGCCAAGTTCTGGCTTGAGGTCCCCAGTAGGCTGAACTCCAATTAACTGATGCCCCAGACTAATATCGTATATCAGTCCAATAGCTCTAGGGAGCCAAAGAGGCTCCCCACAAAAAATTTACCAAAATAATCTTAGCACGTACCTGGATCAACATGGATTTTCACTGTACATTATCATCATATGAATTAAGAGACCAGGAGTTGAATTACATCAGACTAAATTATTTTGAGACCTCCCATGGCTAACATCAAAACTGCCTTTAGAAATTCGTGTAAGGATTCCTTTAGAATTTTGTATACAACATATGTCTGAACATTCCTGGAATATGCAGCTCCAGTGTGAAGTCTATACCTAGTCAAGCATACGACGAAGTTGGAGAGAATTCAAAGGTATGCCACCAGACTAGTTCCAGAACTACGAGGTATGAATTATGACGAAAGTTGAAGCTCACGGCGCTGGAAGACAGAAGAGTTAAGGGAGGCATAATTAACACACAAAATTCTCTTGGGAATTGATAGGGTAGATCACGGTTGGTACTCACACAAGGACTGGCAGGTGGCTACCGAGTACCCAAATGAGCTAGAGACATTACGAAGAATTTGTTGTGTCAGTAGTTAACTAATGGAATGCACTAGGGAGTGATGTAGTGGAGGCAAACACCATACACTGTTTCATATGTAGACATGATAAGAGCCGAATACACTTGGGAACGTGTACACCAGTTGACAGCCGAGAGACAGGACCAAAGAGCTGAAGTTTAATCCCACAAGCACAATTAGGCGAGTACAAGTGAGAGAAAAGTGGTGGTAAGAGTTCAGTGAAAAATGTTCAAGAACTCAAAGCATATAGCATTGGATCAGTCTGCTCATAAGTGGTTTATATAGCAGCAGTTTAGTATCAAAAGAAGGCAAAAGACTCAGCAGACTTTATCGTGAGAGGAGACTATGGCTTGAAAGAACACTGGGAAGGCATAATTTGAAATCTTCTGGAAAAATCTACATATTTTACAAAGTGTGGGAGGAAGCAGTTCTGACAGCTCCAGATCTGTTCCATTAACTTTCAAAGTGTGATTGTTATGTTGTCTAGTAAATTGCATTCATCATATGAAGATTTACATTTTGTTTAAATGTTAAATTTTTGAATACAATGTTACCCCTTCAGTTCTAGTCCATCAATGGTCTGTCCCAGTAGTAATAAGAGACCACAAAATAATTTTGATTTAAATGTCCTCCAACTCCTGGTCTTCCATCATCATATGACTCCAGAGTTTACCTCCCAACAAAGATCTTCACTGTGTAAGATTATTTTTTTAAATATATTTCATGTGAATATAGTAACACATTTTGTGTTTGGTCCTGGCTTACGTTACAATGTGATGCTGACCCTTACCAGAATGTTAACCCCTTAATTTGTCCTGGGCAGTGGTCATCAAACCCAAGACTTAAGTATAATTATGCTTGTCCTTTCTCTATTGTCTAACAACCTTTCACAGTCTTATTTCAGAATAAAATGTTCAAATGTTATGCCCGAAACGCTTTGCGTAATAGTGGCTATAGGCATTGTATGTACTAGCTATACCTATAAGTTAAACAATCCTTGTAATTACTTATTGTATGTATGTACCTTACCTAAATAAAATTGTAAAAATAAAATAAATTGTAAATTATCTTATTATCTTCTAGTTATGTTAAAAATTACCCAGCGATGGTTTCTAAAATATATTGCAAGTATTCTTGTATGATTTGGTTATGTACTTAATGGTATATTAAATAATAAGTGTATATATACATACATTATCATTACCCCCTTTTCCTTCCTTTATAGGGAGAAGGGGCCCAGGCAAAGTTGACTATAATATAGATAGTAAAGAAAAAACAAATCTCATTCGTACATTCATTTTATCAATTAGACTACATATTAATGATAAGCCACACCACCACATAAGAAAATGATCTGGTCTTTCTTCTTTGGGTCAAACCTTAAAGAAAGGTATACCAAAATGAAAAATGCTTGTGTGTGGCTATAAAGATTTTACAACATTTGTGTTAAGTTCTGATGGTTTTGCAAAAGTAGCACAAGAAAAGGACATTAATTTATGGAATCTCACCCATCACAGTTATGAGATCACTAGACATCTGTGTATTCAAGTTGTTCCTTAAGTTTGTAGATGTTAGTCATTCAATGTTATCAAATTTAGTAATCGATATCAAAAGCATCTAATGGTCAAATTACTTACAAAAATATTGTGTTATTAAGACACCATTAGTCTCCTTCCAATGCATTAATCAAGATTGGATCTTATTATAGTTTTATCCACTGCATGAAGATTTTTTCTATTCTCTTTCCAGGCTTTAATTTACCCTGTTATATATTAAAATTACTGCATCTACTTTAGTATATTCATTATAAAGTACTACTTCCCAGGTCTTACATAAAATTAAGACAAATGTATTTGATGATTAAACTTGTAAATAGAAATCTCAGATTTGTAATTGCCTACCTGGCTGGGTGTGAATATATGAAGTACTATACTTGGTAGCCAGATGATAGTGCACTAAAAAAAACTTCTGCAGGCACCATCTTGCTCGGAATGCAGAAAAAGGCAACAAGGCACAAACTGACATACAGTATTTATGTAGAGATAAATGTATCTGGATATGAAATATATAAACCTGACAAATATGCAAACAAGATTTAGCTACATTATTATTACCTTATTGTATTGTCAAACACTCATTTGAGTTCACTCAGAACTCATTCCTTCATTTCTATTGAATGTGTATAAAAACCTACTTCATGGAAAAGTATTTATAACAAAATAATTCACAGTAAGACCCAAATGAAGATAAAAAGAGTATTATGTGAATAAAATCTCTCTGAAAGTGCAATAATTACACCTTTGTTAATTACACCTTCATTATGTGTCAACATGCATTGTATTCATACGTGTGCAGGTGTGTGAGGGAGGGAACATGTACATACGCACAGGTGTCAGTTATTGAACAAATAAAATAAAAAAAACTTTGAATTTCATCCTTTTTCTTGTGGTTTAACTTGCATGAAAGAGATAAGAGAGAGAGAGAGAGATAAGAGATATAGAGAGAGATAGAGATATATGTATATATATAAAGAGAGAGCACAGGAAGGTGGTTGGAGGGGGGAAACTGGAAATATATACATATGGATAGACTTGAATATACCATAAAAATAATAAAGACAAATTTGTGATGATGAAGATTTGAAATTAGTTACCTTACATCTGCAAGTGTATATGCTTAAATAGGCACACTCCAAGTATTGTATGATATTCCAGGAAAGCTGAAAAAAGTCACAGAACTGGTTTGATAAGTGAACTACTAGTTTTCTCCCAAGTCAATACATGGTAATAATAAAATGTTTCATGGAAAATTAGTCATAAGAGCAACACATAGTGAAAGGGTGTATCTTCCTGTGTTAGAGAAGGAAAGAGATCTGGGAGTTGACAACTTCAAGCCTATCACCAGAGGTTCTAACAGAATCCCATGAAATGTTTATACTATTCTGGTGAATGCACAAAATAATCACACGATGTATCAATCAGAAAATCAGTAGGACTCACAAGGATTCGAACTTGCACACTGGGTATGCCCAAGCAAACACCTTAGACCTTGAGGTTTGAATCATCCTCATAACTCCTACTGATTTTCTCATTCTGGTGAATATTAAAGTAGCCTACAGGATACAGTATACTATGTCGGATCACCCCACAAAAAAAAATATAATAGGTTTACCACATGAGTAATCTTGAAATTATTGGGATTAAAGTATGTTGAAAAAATCAAAGGACATATGACTAAGAAGCAAAAGCTACTTAAGGACACTGATCAAGATAGAAAAGAATAAGCCTCCCCAAAATTATAGGACATGACTATAGGCTTGATTTGCAGGTGGACCATAACCTAGGGATATAGAGACTTTTTTGTGAGGCTAAGTGGAATGATTAAGAAGAGGAGAGTCAGGGTTAACTCCATAACATCTTAAGTATACACAACAACAAAAATAAGGAGTCAAGATAAGTAGAAATATGAAACCCAGGAAATGGAGCTTGAGTCTGCAAATGCTACTAGATAACCATATGCACAATCAAATACATATATGGAACTGAGCATGATGGCAGCTCATCATAGCTCAGGCAAAATCTGATACAGTTAAACTTCAAAACAAGTCACCCATTACAGCATAATTGTGTGACTACACCACTTGAATTGAAAATCACAGCTCAAATCAATAAGAAATTATAATAATTTAAGTCTTCAATAAAAATAAGTTATTCATAACTTACTTAAAATACCACGATTTATTATTAGACCAACTAAAACTAAATGCACCGTTTTATATTCAGATTTTCACTGGGTACCTTAAGCTATAATTCTCTAGCCCAGGTCCTTTCCAAATGTCAACACAAGTAGTTAGGAATACAATCAGATCATTCTGTATCGTGTTTGTCGTTTCATATATATCAATGAAATAACTGTCAGTACAGATCTATTCTTCCTTTCTATATAAAAGTTTCCCTCTTAACATAAAACAATTGTGTATGAAAAACCAGGTCTGAAATTAGAAACTAATGGTAACTAATCACAAACACTGATTAAAGAATGAAGATACTTCATATTTTTAATTATTCCCAGGGAAAAAGAAAATCACAACTGGATGAACCTTTCCTTGGTAAATCGATGCTCAGCAGAACAAAACTTACTAATTTGTTATCAAATTATAACTAAAATTAAATACATTTTTTAAACTAAATATATGTAGCTACTGAGTTAAGATGATAAGTCTAAGTAGTATATATGAATGAAATAATGATAAGTTGTTATAAATGCTAAATGAACAATAATTTATCCCCTATAAAAGAAAGGTTTCTCTTATTATCATTATATAATCATCAGCATATCAAAGCTTACCACATGGAATACATGTAATCCATTGATTGTTAGAGCTATTTTTTGTTCATATAGTGATAAATTATGTAGTTTGTTTCATTCATGTGATAACTAGGGTAACAAACAATACCACATAAGAGAAACTTTAGGCATATTTATCAAGAAGAGCTGATGCTGAACGCTCTAATTCCCAGCTGTTGGCTTCTAAGATGTACTCGCACTCATCCTTACTTGCCATGCCCAATCTGAAGTAAGAAAAGCAATTTACAGAAATTTGTCTTGGCCAACAATATATATTTTACACATATGCAATATACAGTATAATAATAATAACTTTTACCCCTTATGATGAAGGATGACCAAGCAATAAAGACAATGACGTGAAGGATTTGTTTAACACTTTCATTATGGTGGTGCATACATTTTTGTCCAAAGTGAACCATCCCTTTTGGTCACTTGCTCCATAAAAAGTAACATGCTTACTGGTATATTAATTTTCAGTTTGTAAATGTATTTCAAGGGTTAGAACACTGATCTAGGTATCAAAATGTTTGGAAATTAATGATCGTGAGTATAGGCAGTAAACAATATTTTGTTAATAAATTCAGGTGTGCAAAGCACTGCCCTCCTCCATTTAAGTTAGCCAGTCACTCCAGTTAATTAAATTGTTTACCGGGAATGTCCAAAAAATAAAAAACCAGCATTGAATGAAATGAAACACCTCTTTCTGGGCGAGCCCTGGTGGCTCCTTGAAGTTATCTCGCTAAGATGGCTCCCAACTACTAGGTCACATCAGCTGCAGAGTTCTGTTTAGCCTACTTGGGACCAGAGCCAGAACCTGGCCCCCTCACAGAGAACTAGAGAGCAGGGCAATTACTAGGGAACTTTCATGGCAAGCCATAGTTTTATTCGAGTCGAGAGTATGAAGCTAAATCATGAACTCGGATAACTAGGAAATTAGGGTTGCCAGAATTACTGAGCTCTTATAATACAATATAAAATAAAAATAAGTATGAAAAATTATATAAAATACACAACTTATCTTTCAGTTTCTTTAGGTAGGCCTACAATATATAATGAAAAGGTAAACTAAAGTTGTACTGAACATTACTCATAATCATAAGATTTCTTTCTTTAGAAATTAGATGTATTTTTGATACAGCAAATATACTGAAAAATATAAATGCTGTCTATTATGTACTATACAAACAAAGCTATTCCTCTTTCGTCCAAGTCATCCCATCTACATGCTCACATCTATCCCACAAATTTGACATCACTCACAATTTAAACATCATTTAAATTGTAATTCTTCAGAGGTTTACTAAGACAGAGCTTTTAAAAGTCACAGATAAATGAGTCAAGATGTATAGCCATAATATGACAATTGAAAAAGGTCTGCATGCAATACCAGATTTAGCACAAATAATTTAACAAAATGTTCAATATATATCAGTGCTCCCACAGTTATAATAGCCAGGATATTGTGGCAGTAGGTTAACTTACTAGGCACTATATGGTCTGTATACATTATAGATTTTCCTTGCATCACCATATATAATTCTTTAATTATACAAGTTGCTACACAAGAGTATTATCTAGGAATCACACGAACATGGCTAAATTTTGTAAATAAATTTTAATGAAAACTATAAGATATCCTTTCAGGAGATGCCTGAATAGGGTATACCTACACTATCATGTCATATTACAACTGGGTTGTTTCAGAAATTTACATTCCTGTATGAATCAACCCATAATTCCTTGACAATGTTTAAAAGAGTGTCTTGAAATGTCTTCAAAATTTTACTTAAAAAATTACAATCCTACTAGTAAATGTATTTAACCAATATATGGGACCAGTTCTTTCTAACTACCACTAGAAGGTTCAAGATGTAATATGGGAACACCTCATATATATATAAATATATAAAAATACTTCTAAAAATATAAAATAAGAGCCAAAATAGATTTTTAAGTTTCACTAAGGGCATCAAAACAGTATAAGCATCTAATTACAAAAGCAAGCACTTGCCAAGCTGTTAACCTGACCTGTAAAGCTTCTCAATCTTGAGGAAGCGCACAGCACCCTGGTAATCACCACTGGCTATGTGCAGTGCCTGGCGAGCAGCAGCCTCAGAAGTCCCGGGCACAACAGCAGCAACACGGCAAACTAGAACCTCTGCCCCAGAGGCAACATCACCCCTACTACTGCTCCCACCACCACACACCATCTGCAAGCCAGGACCCAAGTGTTGGAAAGAAGACACAGTAAGATGCAAGCAAATAGGTTAAAGATGAATCAAGCAGGCTTTTAAAAAAAATGCAGTACAGTATCATATAAAGTGTCATAGGTCACAACAGGAATTTTATTCTTTAGCTTATTTTAACTAAATGCTACCCAACTATAAAAAAAAATGAACTGAATGTAATGAAGTGCCTCTTTCTGGGAGGAGGACTCAGTGGCTCCCTGTTGATGGCCGAGCTGAGATAGATTCACACTTATAAAGTCACATCAGCCCTTACAAGTCATTAATAACCAACTGGGAATGAGAAGCCAAAGTTTGACTTCCTCAATGAGGCATGGAGAGCAGGGGAAAATCATGATCATTCTCAGTGAAGAATCAAACTACCAAAATCAGAAGGAAGCAAACAAAACAGACAACTGCAAGATTCACAGAAGGTAAATAAAATGCAACAAATTACAGTACTTCACAAACTATCTACTCAGCAGTTAGGTTGCAGCAGCTGCTAGCTCCTATCAACAACCCTCAATAATGAACAGAACAGAAGCCAACCAACACATCTGGTAGGTCTTGTGATCCATCAAGGCCTCGGTGGATACTTAGAAATAGGTGTTTCATTACATTCAATGCTGGTTTTCTAGAAAGACTAAACAGTGGTTCTCAGTGGCTAACTACAGAAAACAGGACACACCAGGGGAAAATGTGTCCTATTTTCAAAGATCAACCTCTTGAAGGTGTAGTCCAGAATTGGAACCCTACCAAGGAAAACACAAGCCTGTAAGAGACCAGGTAACAAGCTGTCAGGACTCAAGTAGACCTCCAAAACCCGAGCCCAGAAATCAACACACGACATATTAGAGGACAGTGGCGCAAGCTGCAAACTAATGAATGTCAATATCCTCACGGGCCCGAGGATAGACTGAATGCTGGTTACAGTGTACAACATTGTTGACAACCCAAGACAAACAAGCCTTGAAACAAAGAAACAAGGATAAGGATAAGTAATCAATGAATCAAGAAGTAATAACTATAGGACCATCAGAAGCCAACTAGCTACTCGGCCAGAAAACAAGTAGGCTGCAGACGAAGAAATCACCCAAGAGGGTCGAAAACCAAAATCCACACTTTTGGAGAAGAGCATGAAGATCCTGCACCGTACAACTGGAAGCAAGGGCCAACAAAGAAAAAGCCTTTAACAACCCAGCATGGATTGTAATGTAATGCCTTTTGCTGGAGGAACCCTGGTGGCTCCCTTAAGCCGTTGTGGCTTTACTGTACCAACCAATCCGGTTCTATTTTCTAGCAAGAACCGAGCTAGCAAGGGACTTGTATAGTAATTATCTGTGTATAAAATGTGTCCCTTGTTCATCCACGGAGCCATGATGGTCTTCACTACACTCCCCGAGAATCCATGTTCGTCGTTACCGGGAATGTCTACATCACTAGCCGAGTACAGAATCATGTGTAACACGTATCCTGTCTCACAATCACAAAGAACAAAAAATTTCAGGCCAAATCGGTTTCGTTTTGAGGGAATGTACTGTTTGAATGGAACACGTCCCTTGAAAAGTATGAGAGATTCATCAACCACCAGCTTCTGTGCTGGTACGTAAAAATCTCTGAATTTTCCAATAACATCGTTCATGTAGTGCCTCACTCGCCACAGTCTATCATCAGGTGTTCGGTCCTGAACACTTCCAAAATGTAGACACCTGAGGAGTATCTGAAACCTGTCTCGTGACATATATTTCCCGAATAAAGGTGTTGGTATTGTCTTGTCCTTGCTCCAATAGTCATTTATTGCATGTTTGTGACAGTGCTTCATCAACAAACAGAGTGCCAAAAACACATACATTTCCGCCACTGTGGTATTTTTCCAACGCTGCAGTCGTGAAAGTTCTGTGATTTCCCTCTCAATCAGGTAAGCAGCATGCAGGTTCGTTTGGTGTACAATGTATTCCATGAGTGGTTCATCATAGAATGCTGTAAAATATTCCATCTCAGCCATGTCCTCACCTTGATTAGGGAAAAGGTTTGTAATCCCTACATCTTTATCATCAAAGTGAGGAATATTAGGAATAAAATCGTCACCATCACTCCACTCAAGTACACCAGGCGTCCTGCGAGATGCAGAGGAAAGACGGCGAGGAAGCGATGCATACCAGCGACCAGGAGCTGAATACCGTCTGCGAGAAGCACGGCGGCTACGTGCACGTGAGGTGGGTGCACGTGAACACGAGGGTCTTGGTGCCTCATGTGGTGCCATGCGGTGGCGCTTGGCTGGGCGAGATGCTGCTGACGTGACAATTTCTCGCCCAGTTACACCACTGGTACCAGCCACAGGCTCAATAAAACTTTGATCTGAGTCACTAAACCCAGAAAAGGAGTCACCTCCCTCTGACTCGTCACCCTCAAACAGAAAATATCCACAGGAACTGTGAGGTCGTGGTAGAATTGGGGTAGAAAATGGGCGAGGAGGCATGGGAGAGCGTATAGGCCTCGCCATGGCATGGCGGTCATTCTCACTTTCACTGCTGCTGCTACTATCTCCCGACAACTGTGTATAATCCTCATCGTTGTCTGAATCGTCAAACACACTTTCTTCACCTTCAGAGAATAATTCGTGGGCTATTTGCTCTGGGGTGAGGGACTGAGTGATGCGTGCTCGTGAGGCGTTTGACCGTGCGCTCGCCATGGTGACTCTCGCTAAACTGAGGCCTCCCATGCCATCGGAGCGTGAGCTGGATTTTTTTTCAAAATATTGTGCTGAGATCACTCCATACTAAAAGATCACATCAGCCATGGAAGTTCTATTTGGCTTACCAGGGGCCAGATTCACGAAGCAGTTACGCAAGCACTTACGAACATGTAGATCTTTCCTCAATCTTTGACGACTTTGGTTACATTTATTAACCAGTTTACAAGCATGAAAACTTGACATTCAACTGTTGTTATTGTTATAAACAGCCTCCTGGTGCTTCGGAGCCCATTAACTGTTTAATAGCTGTAAACAAAGTCGCCAAAGATTGAGAAAAGATGGACAGGTTCGTAAGTGCTTGCATAACTGCTTCGTGAATCTGGTCCCAGGGCCCCAGAGCCAGAACCTAGCCCCACTTTCTTCCCTCAAGAGACACAGGAAGTAAGACACAGGGGGTGGTTTTGCTGAAACTTGCAGAAACTTGCTGGGGTGATTTCTGCCATCTTAGCAGAAACAGCTTCCAGAATGTCGGCAGAGTTTTACAGACAACTTGAGGGTTCATAGAAAATAAAACCTTGAAACTGTCAAACAATTCCACATATGATTCACCCAGAACAAGCGATTTATTCAAGCTAGCTCAAAACTCATTATTACCAATTACCATCACTATGTGGTCTGGTCCCAACTCTCGGCCAGCTGCCCTAGTCGGTTTTGGAGCTGATGAACAACCTAATGACAAATTGACCAACCTGGAGGTAGGGGGAGGGGCAGGGGTATCATGGAATGAGTGCAAATCAAAAAGGCTGACCCATCAGATGGGTCATCGAAGCAGAGCCAGTTCACCTAGCCTGCAATACTGACATACTTGACCTGGAAATCATTGATCTAGTTTATTACTCACTCACCAGCTCCATAATAATGAGGAGTCAATCTCAGACAGCAAAGAAGGGTGAACAGCTGAACACAAGAAAAATGAAGCACAACACCTAAACAAAGCAAAAATGCCTTACCATCACTCCCCTAAGAGACCATACCACCTGTCAACTAACAAGAACTCAACTCACCAACGACATCACTACCAATCACAGTGATCCAATCTAAGGTGGACAGGAAACCAAACTTTCCATCCTCCTCACTTTCCATTCCCTTCCAGAATTTCAACCCCCATCCTTCTTTCTTCCCCATCTTTACCCAACCCTTTGGTGAAGAAAATTTCCCCCAAAGAAATTCCCTGTGTCTTGTTAAAGGCAGCCAGGTTGTTTGCCTCTGGTCCCTCAGTAGGGTTATATGACTTAAAAGGCTCTGGCATGGATTAAATTGGGTGGAAGTATCCAGGTAGATAAACACCAGTGAGCCTCCAGAGAAGCTCCTCCCAAGAAAAGTTATAAACCAACTATTATACTATTTTTATCAGATATTCAATGAAATAAATACTTTCCACATTTGAATAAGTTCTTTTAATTTATATTTATTACTAAATCCAGGAATAGTAAAATCTTTGAAACCATATGAAATATGTATATTTTTTCAGAAGAGTTGGGCCGGTTTACCAAGACAGATTGGTGGAGTGAGCACTATAGTGTATTTCACTAAGAATTTGTCTGTCACACTGTATTTTAATTTGAGTCATATGAACGTTGTGTACATGCATGTGAATATGAGTGTGTGTGTGTGGAGTTACATATACAGTATGTGCATGAAGTATGGCTACACTGATAGGTACTAAACCAGCTTGCAGAATATCCTGTGCAGAACATGAAGAAATTAGTGAGGAAAGTGAAGAGGAGCTGGGTCAATAAAAAAAAAGGGATTGAATGTAATGAAACACTATTTTCTGGGCGAGTTCCGGAAGCTCCCCGGAGCTTACTGGGCTGATATGTATGTATTAGACCATGGCATCAGTCGATTGGACATCTTTTGCCTACCTGGGGCCCTGAGCCAGAACCTGGCCCTCATCAAAGGCACTAGGGGAGCAATGGCCTATGGAAACCCCCATGTGTTTGGAAACATTCCATGTCTGCCATCGACCGGGGTTGGCACCCAGAAAGGTAGGCGTAACAAAACAAACCCCACATGGTAAAAATTGCTACCTAAAAGCCAAACGGAGGCAGAACTCCCAAACTAAAACAAGCAAACAAGCAAACATCACCAACGCCGTCTCATTAATCGTCCGCACAGCCCCCCCTCCCTGTGCCGGCTGCTCCAGCTATCAGTTCAAAGTCTGAGCATCAAGAAACACACAAAAACCGCTGACCAGAGGGAGGGAGGGAGGGAGGGTGTTGGGGAGCCTCTGGGAGTTCACCCAGAAAATGCCGTTTCATTACATTCAACGCGGGTTTTCTGTGGGGGAGCCCCTACAGCTCCCCAGAGCTACCTAACCAAAGATAAGGAAAAGAGGGACTAACCCAGGAGGCGGCCGCCACTCGCACCTCAACTCGAAGTTGAGACAATAGGCTGCAGCCTGCAACCTAAAGATACACCGTCCCCACTAGGGCCAGAAACGGTGACCAGCGGTGACCAGGCAACGGGATGCCAGGACCCAGTTCAACCTCTAAAATCCCCGTACCCATATGGCTGCCCAAAACATGTCACCAAAGATGGCAGGTAAAGCACCAAACTTATGAACATCACAGGCACGAGGATAGACCACAGGCTGGTTGGACCGATTAACCCAGAGGACAACCTGAGAGACCCCGAGTCCTGGAACAGGGAACAAGGAAGACTGGGTCAACCATCCCCGGGTACAGAGACCGTGGAGCGCAGGTAATGGGGAGCCGATCGGCCGAGCGGACAGCACGCTGGACTTGTGATCCTGTGGTCCTGGGTTCGATCCCAGGCGCTGGCGAGAAACAATGGGCAGAGTTTCTTTCACCCTATGCCCCTGTTACCTAGCAGTAAAATAGGTACCTGGGTGTTAGTCAGCTGTCACGGGCTGCTTCCTGGGGGGTGGAGGTCTGGTCGAGGACCGGGCCACAGGGACACTAAAAAAAGCCCCGAAATCATCTCAAGATAACCTCAAGCCGCAATCATACATAACACATGATGCACCCACGGCCCGACCAAGCAAGCATCAACAACCCAAGATCCCCTCTGGAAAGCTGCTAACACTCAGCAGGCAACACCACAAGGGCACAAATTCCTGGCAGGAAACTGAGGCCAGAGTCGACAACCGCCCCAGTGGGCTTCAGTCTTTGAACTGAGGAGTGGGCTGAGCGCACGGGAATCCGGGGTTCCCTCCTCCCTCTCCGGGGAAGGGGGGGGGGGGAGAGAGGGGGGAAGCTGTGTGAACAAGCAGCACGCCGGGCTGTTTGACGTTTGCTTGTTTCCTTTTTTTTTTTTTTTTTTTTTTGGGGGGGGGGGGGGGGGAATCTGAGTCTCTGTTTGGTCTTAGGTTGCAATTTTCTATCAGGTGGTGGTTGTTTTGGGATGCCTATCTTTCTGGGTGCCTAACCCCGGTCAATGGTAGAGGGATTACTCCCAAAAACAGTGGGGTTTCCTTGGGCCATTGCTCCCTGCACCTCTCTGAGAAGAGGGGGGTCCAGGTTCTTGCTCATGGTCCCCGGTAGGCAGAACTCCAATCGACTGAAGCCCCAGACTAATATAGCTAATATCAGTCCGATAGCTCCAGGGAGCTGACGGGGCTCTCCACAGAAAAGTAGTAATTTTATACAGTAACAGCATTATGTTGGCCTAGGAAAGTGCTATGATCATATGATGATGGGAGACCAGGAGCTGAAGAACGTCTGACTCTTCAAATTATTTTGTTGTTTTCCATGACAGCTGGCACACAATATTGATCAACTGGATCCATTTGAGTAACATCAATATTCATATATTGAAAGAAAACTTAAATTGTCATATGATAGCAGAATTTCACTGGACTAACACATGGTGATATCTTCTCTTCAAGTGTTAATTTGAAGTGGAGCAAGTGGTAAGGAAAATTTTGTTTACTATTAAAGCCCACTCGCATGCCATTACACACTCACATGCCACCTTACCTCTAAATAATTATATAAATTGCTTAAATTACTTACCATTTTTTAAGTAATTATTAATTAATAATAGGCACCAATATAAATCACTAACCTGGTTGTAGTTAACAGTCAGCTGTGGACTAAGAACAACTGTCGGTTGTAGCACAGAGCTCTGGAGTGTAAGTCCACTTTGTTGTTGTTGTTGTTGTTGTTGATGCTGGTAACTTTGATGTTGCTGTTCGCACCATGGGTGCACAGAAGAAACAGAGGTGGCTGAACTTTTCTGGGTAAATTGCACCTGCTGCTGAGGTGGTTGGCTGCTATAACTCATCTGGAAACTGGGGGATATGCTACTTAAACTGGAAACTGCACTTGAGGTTCTCAGATCTCCAAACTGACTTGACCATCTTTCATCAATATTTCTGACCTCACCTAGTGGTTTACCCGAGGATGGTGTGTGTACCGAAGCTGTAGAAATTGTACTGCTCTGTTGGATGAGGCTTCCTGTAGTACCTGGTACCTGAGAATGGTTCCCCAGGCTTCCAGCAGTGATGCTTCTTTGGTTGGATGTTGAAGTTGGAGAGTATTGAATGAATGGTCGTACATGAGCAGTTTTGGGGAAAAACTGCCCAGTGTCTACTATCTGCTGAGGCAACACACCTAATGTTTTTGATGAAGTAAGAACATCTAAATCAGAGAAGGCACTGTTGTTGCTAACTGGTTGTAACTGAACACTGGTATGTGGTTTAAATTTGTTCTGACACTCATTCACAGACGTGACTGCAACTGCTAAACTTGTTTGTCTTGATACAGGTGTTTGTTGTAGAGGGAGCAGAGCTGGCACTTGGATATTCTGAGATGACTGTTGTCTATCACTTTGGCAAGATGCAGTAAAACTTGAAGTAACAGAATTTCTTGAAGAATTGTTAACTTTTTTGTCTTTACCAGTAAAGGTGTTTGCTGAGGCCTGATCTTTTCCAAGTGATTTTTCTAACTCAGCAATGAAAGCAGGATCGAGTCTTGGTAGTGTGGCTGTAGTTGGAGTTAATGGTGCTGGGAGAGCAAGTTGAGCATTATGCGTTGATACTGAAGGCAATGTGGATATCTGGGTAGGGTATAACAAAGACTCTCTGGTAGTAGAAGTGTGAGGAAATGCTGCCTGTCTACCCTGGTTACTATGCAACATTTGCTGATTAATCCACATTGAGGACGGCGGTGATGCAAATGAAGTGGAAGTGTGACTTTGTTCAACCCGTGGTGATAATGTTCCTTGTGTGAGAGAGATTGGTAACAAGTTTGAACTTGGAGGCGACTGAGAAATGGAACTGATCCACATATTACTAATTTGTGCATTCAAATCTTTCATACAACTACTTTCTTGAATGCCCTGAACCAAATGGGAACTTGGTGAGCTCAGATTGTTACTTATCAATGGAAAGACTTGTGTTGAAACAGTCATGTTGCCTGACTGAGATGAACTACTTGGGAAAGAATTATGGAGTGATTTTACTGCTTGTAAGTTATGGGACATTCCCACTGTAGATGAAATACCAATAGAATTTGAGCTTGGACAAACTGATAAAGGCACTGAAGCTTTTGAGGTACACGTGGGCAAACTCTCTATAACAGGAGACTGACTTAGTGTGACTCTACTTGGTGAAGAACTAAGCACTGAATTATCTAGTAGAGAATTATTTGTCAAGGAGTCAGGTTGGCTCTCTGATAATGGAGAAATATTGGCAGACATGTTCACCATTGGAGTATCAGACAATGAGCCTCGTAATACACTTTGGCAAGGAGAGTTATTAGTGCTGCAACTATTATCTGGAGACTCAAATGGTGGCTCGTCGTAACATCTGACATGAGATGTGTCAAATGGGTCAGACGCTTCGCTTGTGTTAGAATAATTTCTACTGCAATTACTCATCTCATTAACAGTTCGATCATTCTTTTCACTATTTTTATCGTTAGTATAGCACACATTATCACTGCTTGGGCACTGGTCAAGTGATCCAATGGCTATATTGTTCTCTGCTGAATGTGTGTCATCATCCACACATACTACATCATCATCCCACTCCGAGTCATCAAAATCATCATAATTATCACAATAATCTTCAGAATCCCCAAAAGAATTTGAATAGATAGTGGGTACAGGTGGGGCTTGCCGATGATGCCGATACTGTTCTGGGTGTTCATGACTTCCAATATTTTGAGACTGTAAATCTTCTTCATAATTAACACAATTCTGGAGTCTATTTTCTAGATGGCTACTTTGTTGGTTATGAGTTTGAGGCATATTTTGTTGCTTTTTTTGTAGTTGGTGGATGGGTGGGCTTGGGCAGGGACGGATAGGTACTCTAAGAGGTTGCTGGGCCATTCCAGAGGCAACATTAAGTGACGTACTGCTTACATTTTCGTATGTAGGTTGATCTTGGTCACCAATTACTGCAAAGAAACTTGTATTAAAAATGATCCTTAACATTCCAAGGGGGTTTAAGCATGATGCAGTACTATACTAGCAAAACTGTCATTAAATAATAACAACTTTGACCATTGGAAAGAAAATTAGACTTCAGACAAATGAACTTTAGAATAAGTGACCAGGGAAACAGGATTTACAAAGTGTCTACCCAAACAGTCCATGTGGCGCACACACATAGAACACCTCACCACAGTGACAAGACGAGTATGATGAACCCTCAGTCAGACAAACCAGGCATCAATCACCAGAAGTCAGATATATAGTATCACCTTTAGCAAAAATACAGTACTGATGTACCGAAAAGTCCCTTTCTATTGGGTCCATTCAGCGGCTTCCCAAGCTATCCACCTGGTTAGCTCCTAAACTTAATACTACACCAGGACCTTTTGAGTCACAAGCATCTACCAAGGACCAGGAAGAGAATCTGACTCCCCCCCCTCAACAGAGAGAAAGGAGGCTGGGGGCTGACTTATGATCAATCAGCACAAGGTTTCCTGATTTAAATTTAATCATTTGTGTTAACTCTGCAGCTCACTTCAGTATCATGTTGAAAGAAGCAAAGGTCACAGTTTACATAGAAAAAAACTACTATAGCCTCTCAACACATGTACATTACATGTGGATGACTCATTTCAGGCAGCAAAATATTAAAGGCTTCTCAGATCTAGTAATAAAATAAACTACAATATTACTGTATATACAGTACATTATTTTCATATTTAAAAAATAAAATTAGTAATACTGTATTTAGAAAGATTTTGCTTCTTCCATAAGTTCCTTAAAGTAAATGAATGCAATTAGACTGTATGCAGGGTTTTTGGAGTGCATCTGTGCATAAAACCAAGAGTTGACATTATTTATATGAGTTCTTCAGTGTAATGTACAGAGTTGGTCTGTCAAGTAAAGGATAAATACAGCATAAACAAAATGTATTGACATGGATTTTAAGTTAGGAAATTGATATAGGCAATGTTTAAATACAGTACTGTACATCAATCACCAAGTAATTGCATCACAAACATTGATACATACAACATTAAAGAACTACTATTAAAGTATTAATACAGTTTTGACGTACAGTTTAAATGAACAATAAATAAATCTGCCTGTAAATAAATGAACACTATTAACAGGCAGAGTAGTAACACTACTGACTTGCTGTGGTTTTCATGCACTTATTATGGGAATGTCAAAATACCTATAATATACTATACCAATTGCCAACTAAAGATAATACCTGAACAAAATTTGTAATCACACACATAACGAGCCAAACTCACCAGGGTTTATATTTCCATACACTGGAAAGGCGGTTGGCACTGGCAAGTCAATGAGGGAGGACACACTACCCCTTAACTGACTAGTGACTTCTGAAGAGTCGCTAGCTCGTAGATCTGTAACAGAATGTGACCTCTGTCGGCCAGCCTCTGACAGATCTATCAAAGGCTCATCTCTGTAGATAAATATTTTACTCAGATGAAGTGTGATAGTAAAATGCCCACAAGAATGTTCACATAGATTTAATAAAATAGGCACTGTATTTCTAAAATGAGGATTTGATTAATAAATGGTGATTAGTTTCATATTATATTAATGTACTTGCAAACATGACATAAAATATGAAATGTAAACGAATATTTTAAAATAGATGAATTCTTTAGAGGAAATTGAATAAAATTTGTGCTTAAAAAATACTATATGAATTAGGTTATATTTTCAACTTTCTCTTGTCATCAATTTCCTCAATATACTAACTTTCCATAATTTTTTTTCTGAGACTTCAGAGTATGTGCTCTTGGTACATCATCTGGCCACTTCTCATTTACTAAACGGTTGTAGTTAAACTGCCGCCGATGACTTTGCTTAAGCCGCAGGGACTGGTATTCTGTAAAAAGATGCAGTCTTATTTGTAATGCATTACTGACCAATACTTCCAGTTTGTTGTTACCAAAGCATTTGGTTAAATGGAATATCTATAATAATCGCCCATTACATTTTCTGAGCTCAGTTAAATTTCCATCTCTCGCAAACATATCAAACCATTTTTCTCATTTCCTATCCTTGAATAGGCTTGATTTTGTCAATTTTATTTCTATTTTTTTATGTTCAGTTAATGGTCTCACCAAAAATAAATACTTGTATCATTTGTAGAGTCTATAACTACAAAATATAATCAACTTGATTGCTGAATTTAAGTACAGAGGAACCCAGCTACAACAAAAATCATTTGATCAAAACTCTTTCTTGTCTGTAAAAATTATGGTCCAGTAAGAGTCCCAACTACAGAATAACAGTGTTCATTGCATGGGGTTATTATGTGCTTTAATAACATAGCGTGGTAAGGACATTAAATACTAGTATTTATTGTACTTACTGACTCTTCGAGGTGACATGGGCTTCCCAAGTTTATCTGGGGGCTCCATAGGGTTCCTGAGATACATATCATCAATAAAGGCTGGACTACCCCACGTTTTTCCCCTTATTCCTCCATGACCTATAAGGACAAAATTAACAGAATTAATATAATTATGAAAGAAGAAATTTATACAATATTGCAAATACTTATTTTCCATTTAAATTATTTTAGATATAAAACAGAATATGGTCGGAAGAAGATTTAATTTTAATTCCCTGATTGAAATTTTACATTAACAAACATCACTTATGCCTGAACCACAATAAGAAAAACAAAATATTTTTTTTACCTTAACTAGTGAATTAGAAGCTTGCATTTTAAGTGGAGAGAGAGAAGCAAACAGAAGTTACAGAAATAGAAGGACTACAGAAATTCCTTCTCCAGTTAGAGTTAACTTCAACGGAAGGAGCCATAGTATCAATAATAGCAGGGATTAATACAATTCTAAAGTAACAAGCTCAGTTGATATACAGTGGAAACACAGTAATAACAATACAATATTCACAAGGATATGCGAACATGTGGGAAAGGTTAAGTTTGAGTGACAGTAGGATTAAATATAAACGAACTGTGAAATTGTCAGTGAATTATGGTATTAATTGCAGAGAACACTTCAATTTCCCTAGCATAAATCATTCTTGAAATCAAGAATTTTGAAGATGAATTTTATTACATAATAAATTGTAAATTTATTACAAAACAAGCTAGATCTCTCCTGCACAAATGACAGGTATTGACCAAATATGTCAACAACCTTAGGAAATGTCATCAATATTGTCTATGCACATCTTCACTATAGAGAAATTTACACTTTCTGTTTCCAAGGCAGATGATGTATGTCCACAAAGTGAGCAGCTTTGTATGCTACTTGATAGATCTCCCACAATATGTGGACAAATATCCAACATTGTTGGAGAATTTTAATATCAAATTTGGATTAATAGTGCACAAAGAAATCTCAACAGTTTTCAAGTAAATACAATGCAGTGCACCTCATCACTAACTTCAAAGAAGCACAAAGTAAAACCTATATGCAGCACATCAAGAATGCTGTCACTATTTACTATTTTACATTTTAAGGTGTTAGTAGAGCTCCAATAATGATGAATGCCCCAATCCTCCAGAGCTGGAGGACTGGAGCACTACTGGAGAATTCTCAATGTTATGGATATCTTGAGATTATCTTGAGATGATTTCGGGGCTTTAGTGTCCCCGCGGCCCGGTCCTCGACCGGGCCTCCATCCCCAGGAAGCAGCCCGTGACAGCTGACTAACACCCAGGTGCCTATTTTACTGCTAGGTAACAGGGACATAGGGTGAAAGAAACTCTGCCCATTGTTTCTCGCCGGCGCCCGGGATTGAACCCGGGACCATAGGATCACAAATCCAGCGTGCTGTCCGCTTGGCCGACCGGCTCCCAATGGAGCCGATGGAGAACCTTTCTCCAAAACATCAACAGAACTGACCAGGGGAGCCAGTTGCAGGTGGGCTCGGGGTGCCTGTTGGCGACGATCGGTACTAGCGAACCACGAGCTAGCTTTAGTGAATCCCTTGATCCATGTACAGTATATTGTTTGTGTTCATTTAACCAGTGCAAGTCCAGAGTCCTGGTAGCATTAAGGTAGTCTCTGTAGCACCAGAGCCTAATGCACTGGGAAGCTACTGAGGAGTCAGCCAAAAAATTGTATTAAGTAAAGGAAAGTGAGATTACTTGAGTAGGAGATATCCTGCACACTGGTTACCAAAAAATATAAATTCCCTCAAATCGAAGCATTAGGATTTTAGCAACTTAACTATACTTACTTGTATTTTATCCTTACATGCCATTAACCTGTAATCATACTTCTTCCATCAGTCTCGTACCTGATAATGTTTCAGCAAGAGAATTAAACTTTTCTTTCACTGCGCAATATATTAATCTTTTGAAGCACCGAACATAAACTTTGGAAAATATATATAGATACCTGTATGAATGAAAGAGTTCTGGAGAGGTGTGCTTATGTCTTGATTTGCTAAACGTCTCTGGGGATCAGCAATGCAGCGTGCAAAATCCCCTACCTCAAAGGTTCTCTGGTTCTGACCTTTCCACCAGTAATTTTCAGAACTGTAAAATTAATACTTAAATTTACATGCAGCACAAGCAATAAAAGTAAACAGTGCTAGTACTGTATAGATACATTTTGGACTCTTACTTTCTGGAACACTTTATTTATGGAAGAATGTGACTGAAATTCTAATCCTAATTCTGCCTCCAATAATTCTTTACACTTTTATGAAAAAGTGTTAAATATACTGTAATGAGACAAGTTAATTACAATAACAATAAAAACCTATAAACATGATTTAAGAAAATAAAAGCGCTTTATCAATTTAAGCATACTGGAAAATCTAAAATCAGAAAATTAAATTATAATATGGAAAAATAAATGCATTTGCTTACCTATTACTGCTTATCTATCATTGGCTGCAGGGGAATGAGATTCAGCTCTTTATGCCTCGCCTCCTAACCATTTATACCTGGCCCAATAATTACTTCTCTCCACATTAACATTTTCAGCATATTTCTTTTCAAAGTTGTGGATGGAAGTGACTTCAACTACTTCTTCCTTCAATGAATTCCACTTGCCGACAACCCGTACTGGGAACAAAAACTTCCTTATAGCTTTTCTAACCCTTGTCCTACCTCTTTTTCATTTAAATAGCCTTCCTTCATCCACTTTGGCTATTCCTGCTCAAGATCTTGTATATAGTTATCATATCTCCTTCAATTCGTCTCTCTAAAGATGTGAGGCCAAGTTCTCTCAATTTATCCTCATAGCTGAGGTCTCTCAATTCTAGTACTAATTAGTTGCAAACCTCTGAACTTTCTCAAGTTTCTGTTTATGCTTCACAAGGTGTGGATTCCATGCTGCAGCTGCACACCCAAGTAATAGTCTCATAGGCAGTGTTTAGGGACTTGAAAGCCTCTTTATTTAGATTCTTAAACAACATTCTTATGTTTGTTAACTTCTCATATGCTGCTGATGTTATCCTGTTCACATGATCATCTGTTGTTAGTGTTGGGATTATGTCTACTACCAGGTCTTTTTTCTCTTGTTGTTTCTTGTATTTGCCTTTCCTTGTATTTGCAGTTGCAAAATTGCCATTTAGGCAACTGCTGCTTCGAGAGCTACTCTTGCTAGACTAAGGTGTTCACAGCATTATGATCGGTTGGGTGCCCCAGAGTTAGCCCCTATGGTGTTTAGGGACCCAGAATTGGATGTGTTGGTGATCTACATGTGGACTAAGTCTATGCCCCCTCTTTCCTCTCCTGTGGGAAAAAAAGTGGGGGCATGGCCTTAGTCATTAACAGCCTATACGATCATATAGGTCTGGCGTAGCATCCCAGTGCCTGGGCTTCATGTTGGGTTACTATTCTCCTGCAGGGCCAGAAAATCCCCAATGAGTTCAAGGATCCCATGTATATCACTCACTGCTTCTACTGCTCCCTTTTAAGGAGTTGTATTTGTGTATCTATAAATACACACATACTGCACAAGTGTATTTATAAATACACTTTCATTTTTGCATCTATTCTCTAGACAAATTATTTGCAAACATTTTGACACCAAATTTAAAGCTATAAACAACAAATAACCGAGAAAAATTATTAAAAAAAAAAAAACTTATCGAGTGGTTCGCGAGTGGTGCAGGAAGCTCGAAAAGGTTACCTTCAGGAACCCGCAGAGGCCAGACCACCAAGGTGCTAAGATTCCTTTAGGGTAACAAACACTATTCACACATAATAAAGCAGCATTATAAAGTGATTGAATTTTGGCTGTTCATAGGACAGAGCGATCATTTGCGAACAATTTGGGATATGGATCGTGGATGATGATATAGCCACCTCCTGACGTGCGGCCTCCGCAATAGCTTGGATGAGCAATCCTCACTTAAACATATATATGCTCCATTGAACAATTTGTACTCAATACAATTTGTTCAGACCAAGGAATGCATTAGAACGAGGGTCGTTAGTGAGGATTTACTGTATTTCTCAAATTCCAGAAAATGGACTAAAACTTGTTGGGTTAGACTCCCATGGACATAAAAACCTCAATAATAAATTCAAACAGTTATACAAATAACTAATGGCCAATAATGGCCAATATCAAAAAAGAACCTTTGTTTTACCATCATAAATGTTTAAGTACACAGTCAATATGAAGGGAATTACAAAGATATTGCATTAAAACTGATGGAAAAGTACAAATGCTTCAAAATAAAAAATAAAAAATAAAGAACATAGGAAAATCTTTACTGTAGACATCTAAACTAGAACAAGAAGTGTTCAGCCTCACCTGCCATCAATAACTACAATAAGATCATCCACTTCCACCTTCAATCTGCCTTCTTCATCCCAAGGCTGCATAGCTTTCATAACATGAGGCATAATGGCTGCAACATGTTCATATATCTGGGAGAAAGTTGGCCGTTCATTGGGATCATGCGACCAGCACTGAAAAAAAAAGCATGCCAGTTCATTAATAGTTTTGCAGATCTGAAAATTACTCACATTACCCCCCTACTGAATCACATCAGCGTGAGGAGTCCTGAATGGCCGACTGAGGACCAGAACCAGAACTTGCTGCTTCACAGAAGCACAGGGAGCAGGGAAGTGTTATGATCACCCTCACCAAAGCAAGCACCCAAAAAGTAAATAACTCTACAAAAGATTCACTCAGTAATTAGATTGAACCCCCTAGTTGCAGCTGGTCACCAACAGGAGCTTGAGGATCCAACATCCTCAGACCCTCAGTCAGGCGCTGAAAGGCCACAAACCTTTTGATAAAATATAGTCAATAAAAACAGAGCCTCAAGAATGGGAACCCAGACTCGAGGAACAAAAACAGAGGAGGAAAGAAACCCCAACACCTCTCTTGGAAGATAAAGATGGTTCAGGAGGACCATGAACTGAACAGAGATGAAAAAGCCCAAGACAACAGGCGAAACAGTACTGAGGAAGAAGTGACACCGTACACCAATAAGGGCAGCTCCATCAAAGCTGAGTGACAAGAGGTGACAGCATGAGACAGATGATGACAAAAATCGGGTCAGAAGAGCCAGATACCAAGGCTGAGCCAGCCACCACCTGAAGGAAACACAAAATATCAAAGAAAATGGAAGGTCACTTTGTCAATGGTCTACTCTATGGAAATGGGAAGGAAACAAGATAAACCATCCATGAGAATGTGGGTCCCTCTATGACAAACACCCTGTAAGTGATATGTGAGGGAAATCAAGCCATGAGAAGCTAGAAGTCGAGCATAATGAGAAGTTCAGCAGTAAATCAGGAGGAAGGAGGTGACCCCTTCCCCCCATCACAGTTCAGCAAAGGAATCACCAGGGAAGCAGTCAGATTGAAGCCAAAGAAAGAAGCCTGAAGAAGCGGAACATCCTGAAAAGCCTGCCAAACATCCGCAAACTCATGTACCGTAATGTGTAGTACTTGAGGAAGCAGACCTGATCAAAGACCCTGGGAAGTATGGTTTTGGAACTGCAAAACTGACCTAACCAAAAACTGAATCCTCCAGAACATAACACAACCATGGACACTGAATGGGACCCCAGAAGCAAACCTGGGAAGAAGCAGCCAAGAAAAAAAGTTCAAAAGTAAAGGAAGATAAGGAAAACCCCCCAACAGAGTGGATCAAATCCCTCTATAGAGGGAAGCAGAGGTCTAACAGGCTGAAAGGAATCCAAGAACCCACCTCAGGCTCCTTCCAGTCTTGGAAGCTCAATATGAAGACCCCAGGGAAGAGCCGAGTTCAGTGCCTGATATCAAGACAGAGGGAAAGGCACCACCACACTCAAAGGATTCAAGTCAAATATCACTCCCCCCCCCCATCCCCCCTACCCCCAGAAACAGAAGGCCACGGATCCCTGGTGACAAGCAATAGTTCAACTATATTTGACATCAAAGTGAACAAATAAGGCCATACGGTGCCCAGTTAATGTATCTAATTAGAGGCAGAAATTTCAGTAAGGAACACTATATGTACAGTATTCACATACAAGCAAGGAGAGATGACTGTGGCAACCTCCCATGGTTAGTCTAGTGGGCGACTGCTGTGTTCAGAGTTTAGTTTAGCAATCGGTGTTGCCAAATATTAGTTGAAGGAAGATTGAGTGTATTGATGTGCCTCTCAGTCTTTTCAAGGAGCGTCACCTTGGTAGTTGTTTGATCTCTGATCACAATGATGTTCTCACCCTAATGAAGGAAGCCAAAATGTTTTGAAAAGGTCCTTGTTGTCCCCAGTACTCCTAGATAGTAACCAGCAGCCTCGTGCTTTCACAATATCCTAAACATGCTAGCGATGACTTAAAAGAAACTACTAAGAGGGGGGCTAGCCCAAAATCCCATTTCCCATATTCTTGTTTTTTTCTTTAACCATTTTACCTTTCAGTATATTTAAAAAAAATTATATAAAATTTTGTTGTTTATATGTACAATTTGGGTAAGAAAATCAGACTTGCCAATACTGAAAAATAATCAGAGAACTAGAATTCTTGGTGAAACGTTCCCAATTAGTCCATACTAGCAAGGTTACACTGTACTTACACTGTTAAACAGATAACCCCAAGCCCACCCATGAGCGACTACCCATCCACCAGCTTAACCACATATGGACATTGCCCTTGCACAGCCAAACTTAACAGCTCGATCATACCCATAGACACACCCCTCCCCAAATGGGTACACCTACCCCCAAGCCCACTATAACACACACTAGCCAACCCACCCAAACACACCAGCTGACTGATTCATTAGCACACCCCTGCAGAAAGCTTATCAGAAATCTCCTGATTGCAGCCCAGATCTTACCTAATGACGAAGGTGCAGGAATTTGAGAGTATGTTAGTGATGTCCCATTAACGTCATTCAGTAGGACATAATTGGTAGAAAAGACAAAAAATTTGCAGACAAAAGAGAGTTGTTCCTGTTGGGCAGCCAAATCATTCCATGGATGAGTCAGTGTCCTTGAAGCAGCAATCTGTTGAGGAGGTATGCCAATTGCAGGAGGATGCAGAGCTAAAGAAGCATAGAAATGACAGAATATGAGGGTTTTTGTGATGCCAGCATTTTGAGTGAAAGCCAAATAACATGAAAACAAAATAATAAGCGCAGGTGAATTTGGAGAAAAGAATTGTTTGCCAAGATGTAATAATTGAGGAGCTAACTAAAAACTAAAAAAAAAAAAAAATGGCACTGAAAGGTACCTACTGTAGCTACAATAAAAGTTCAGAAGAAAGAACTTATTAATGGGAAGTGAAGCAAGGAAAATATTGCAATAGGGAGAATGAACGAGAAAATAAAATCAGTACATGAGCTGGAAGATTATAAATCTAGAATGAAATGCAGCTATACACAAATAACCGAAGACAAAAGGGCAATAGACCAGATGATGATGGCGGTTTGGGAAATCAATATGAATGTTGATATCAGAGATACGGTGAGGAAGTCAACAGAGAATAGTCACAGACTGCAAAAAAATCACATGAAAGAATCAGAAATAATTTTCTGTAGCCAAGAAAAAACATAATATCATGGATATAGAAACAAATAAGAAGAAAAGATAATCACTGAAATTATGAGGAATGTTTACGGAATAAGCAGAATGGAAAATTAAACCGACTACTTGAGAATTACAAAAATACTGAATGACAATAAAAAAATGCCATCCTTAGAAAATAAAAGACGTGCTTTTTTAAAGGAAATAAAGCCAGAGAAGTATTGAGAAATGTAAACAATAAGAATGAACCTTTCTAAAGAAGGTAAGATATGGAAAAATACTTTAGGAAGACTAAAGCACTAAACAATAACAGAAATTTGGACGAGAGAAATGCTCATTTTTTATATATACATATCAAGTGAAAAGGGCCAAAGCAGCTAATGAACTGGAACTGACAGAGAATGGCCAGAGGCCAGTATGAGCCAGCGTTGCTCCATCTGAATGTTGCAAAATAAGAATTAACACGTTACAGTATTATACACAAATATTGATGAAATAAGCAACAAGGTACTAGAATTAACCCTTGAAGTTCAGTTATCATACTTTGATTCGCCAAGTAATGCAGTTATCGCACATTGATTTAAACTATTACTGTCTGGGATTCACAGCAATGATGCTAATATGGATATAATAGCTGTATATGAATGCAGTGGTGTTTACAGTACAGTACTTTAACCCATGAAAATATCCTGCCATCATTTCATGATTATTTTACTATGCCAATGCTGTAATCATGGCATAAAATTCCCTTATAATTACGTATGTATACTGATTATTATGTAATTACAGACAGTCTGGGCAACTCTATCGAGGCAGTTGTCTAGCTATGGTAATATATATATTTGCATTGTTACATTTTTACATATGTAAATATGTATTTACATATTTTCCTCAGGAGTTGCTTGTTTTGGAGTGCTTTTGCCTTTGGTGGGGGGTTTTCTCAACGTTTGTGGGATTTTTTATCCCCATGCTCCCTTTTGCCTATTTAAGTAGGACAGATTCTGGTCCTAGTCCCCGACAGACATGCGTGAGTCTAGAGGCATGTTGTGTTTCTCCAGAGCTTGGTCACTGCCAAGTTGCAGCATCAGGGAGCTACTGAGGGGGCTCTCCCAGAAAATATATAGTACAGGAGTTAGAAACAAATACAGTATAGGCAAAATTCAACAAAAGTCACATGCAATAGAATTTTCAAATGGGCCAGCTAATTTTGGTTCAAATTAGTCCATACTACTGAGCATGCATTACACTTTATTTATTTGTAATCATGAAAATAACATAACATTAAAAAAAATAACAATCAATGGAATTCTAACATCTATTGGCATTTCTTTTGGTTATAGACATAACTGTTTCTCAAATGCAGTATAATATCCAAGTAGAGTACTGTTCTTATTATGGAGAAAGTACAGTACTATTTTTCACTCACCTGCAAAAGAAGGTCATACATATCACTGGGACAGGCTGGTGGGCAGGAAAGACGTTCCCCTTCTTGATCAATTTTCTTTAAAATTTGCTGGCCATTTAACCCAACCCAAGGTTCTTCTCCAAATGTAAACGTTTCCCACATCGTCACTCCATACATCCACACATCTGGGCGACACAAAACATTATGATTTGAATTTGTGAAAAAGACTTTCTCAGCTAATTTATGCTGCCACTCATGAAGGTATGGTGATCCTCTGCACATTGTCAGAATCATGGTGAAGTCTGGCAAAAATATATAGAATACCGATGCTACAAAATCATAAATATATATATTAGATAATACAGTGCCTTTGCAGTAACAAATAAGGGTACTGATTGGGAGTTACTTGGCTAGTATAACAGACACTTAGAAGGGTCTTGGGACAAACAGGTTCTCAAGCTCAGAACAGGTTCCAATGAGACGTACATCAAAGGAAATCCAAACTACCAACACTAACTATAAAAAATCTGCCTTATGTCAACCCCCCTAAAAGGTGGTACCAAATATAAACTGACCTATAGAGTCCTATAAAGATATGGGTAAGAAATCGGTGAACTTCAATGGCAGGCAGAGCAGCATAAATTTGTTCATAAATAAGCCTCACATGGGAGCCATCTCACCTACAGCAAATACTGGCAAAGGGGCTCTTCTATATTAGAATGATGAGCACATTAGCTCCACTCATAATCCAAAAAACCCTGCATGATGACACATGAGACAACTGTGGGTTTCTGTTTTCATATTTTCGTCTTTATCATAGTGCACTAACTGGAACTTACCTTCATTACTCATCATATTTTCTGTGACCTACTGAAAGACTATTAATATCAGACTAGAGGATTGCCGTGTCCTCTATGTTGTCTACCCACATGAAAATCCTAGCGTCAACATTTTCAAAATGGTCATACAGTATATATATTTAAAAAACAATCATTCCCTAAAACTCCTTAAAAGTTGTTATAGTAAACTATTTTAAAGCTTTGTATTACATAAAAGATTAATTAATAAACATAGTAATGTATACAAATATCCTTAAATTATTGAATGAAAATGCAGATCCAATGAAGTTCTATTTCTCACAAGAATTATGCCTATCACTTCTAATAACTGTACTATCAAATTTATCTATTGGCCATTATTAAAAACAAATAACAGATTAGGGTATTTGATTTTTAATATCAGGATTTAACCTTTAATAGAAACTTTAAAGTTTATTAAACAGCCTATTAAAGTTTAAAAACTTTAATAGGCTGTTGAAGGAAGTGCCTTAACTTATTAACAACCCAAACGGCTTTGCTATAGAAACTTTTTTTAATAATGTTCAGTGAATAAAAAGTCATGACACTAACCTGATGCATGTGAAAACTGCTTAGATTTGAGAGATTCTGGAGCACACCAAGGGAATGGTACTTTCTTCTGTTCAGTCATCACATAGCAGTCCTCTTGTTGCGGTAATGCCCGCATAAGACCAAAGTCACCAATCTTTAGCTAACGAAATTTAACAAGAGTAGTAGTAATAAATAATAATAATAATAATAATAATAATAATAATAATAATAATAATAATAATAATAATAATAATAATAATAATGATCACCAAACCACACACTACAAATTGAAGAGACGACGACACAATCAACTTGACAATGGCCCAGGACGGACCAAAGCGTCGCCATCTCTCTAATTCTAGTGTGCGGTTTGGTCAACATTTTCAGCCACGATATTGTGAATCTTCATCTAATAATAATAATAATAATAATAATTAGTAATAATAATAGTAATAATAATAATTTATTTATAAACAAGAGGCTATTTTATTTATAAACAACAGGTTACATTGGTTACTTAGTAGAGAGAGTAATTATATATTTTATAAAGCCACCAATACAGTACTTCTTCTAATAAATTTGTATAGACCTAAATGAAATAATCATACCAGCTTCTAGCGATGGTAATAATTCTTAAACTATGTGAAACTGATGTTTACAGTTCAGTAGTTACAACAAATTTACTCCGAGTTTTTATTTATAGAGAATAGGTAAACGGGAAATCTAGAAGTAAATAAAAAGGTCCAGCATTATGAAAAAAAAGTGTATCAAGATCACCAAGAGATGAGGCTAAACCAACCTGTACAAACTCAAGTTTAAGACTGGTTTTAGTAATATATATACTGCAATTGTAAAAGCAAAATAAAAACATCACAATATTTATAAAAGCACTGGAAATCGTATGTGTAAAAGAATTTTTTACTACATGTGTTCTTGCTGTGGCTGAAGCAGCTTGAGGAATTGAGAGAGATGGGATTGCTCTTTATATCACAGATTAAATATGAGGCATGCATGCAAATATCAGAAAAGTCAAGGTACTGTACCAGTAATAAGAATACTACATACTGTATTGTAAGGGATTATTACAACAAAACTGTTTATTAGCCAACCTGTGTAAGGAATGTGCTGTGACTCAAGATCTTGTGCCTCTGAGGACCATGATAAGTATATAAAAAAAATGCAATGAAATGCTTCTTTATAGTGGATCTCTTGGGGCTCCCTGTTGCTTACCACCTAGTTAACTCCACCCATTTCAAATCATATTAGGCTCTTGTGAGTCTTTAAAAGCTTACCAGAGACCAAAGGTCAAAACCTCACAGAGGTGTAATAAGCAGAAGATTCAAGATCATTCTAACCAAGGAAAAAGCCACAGGTAACAGCAAGGTAAATAAAAAAAATCAGAAAACAAGTAACCCAATGAACAAATCCACAAGGGCCATGATGAGGGTTTGAACCTACCTACGGGATGATCCCAGACGCGCCTTAGTTGATTATCCCACAACGTGTCATAATATATAGTCAAGCTGTTCTCCCACTAGTAGCAACTGACCACCACTAGGTGGCAGCACTGTAAGCTACCAGTTCAGATGAACCTCCCAGCTATTCTTCAGCTGCCGAATCGCAAAAACCCAACATCAATGCAAAAAGGAAAGGAGGGTCCAGGGTGCCAAAGTAACCACAAGAAAAAGACCTTAATTGCATTCAGTGCTGGTTTTATGGGAGGGATCTATTGGTGGCAGGAAGCTGGTGGGTAAGCACAAGAATGAGAGGCAGTGATGCTACATCATTGCTGGATTTGGAATTTACCAGAAATGAAGAAGATATTTGACATTCAGTACCAACCTCCACTCAAGATTTAGAAGAGATTAGAGAAAGGGAAATAGTGGAAAAACTTTATTTCAAGAAAGAACACTATAGGGAACATAGCAAGTTCTTTAATGAATTTAATTGGAAAGATTTATTGTTAGGAAAGGAAATAAATTAGATGAATTCTACATTTTCATATACAGTAATTTAGGGACCGAGAGGGGTCAAAACAAACCTAAGGACCCTTACTGGGCTCTCCCTTCAATCCCAGCTGCTTGTCAAAAAGGCTCTGGGACAGACCGAGTCCATGCCCAATGTCTGGGGGAAAAACAGCGGATTCCAAAGGAGAAGGTCTAGAGTAAGAAGGCAGTTGGAAAGAAAACTGAACCCTCAGCAGGACCAGTTGGCTGAAGTGCCTCTGCACCAGAGTAAGAAGGACCCACCACCGGAGAAGGCCAATCCACACACCAAGCTAAGACCTGCCCTGACTCTGAAACCCTCAGATGTTTTGGGGCCAGAAGTAGGATGGGGAGGAGGGGAAGTAGGGCACACCTAAAGGAAAAAGGGGAGACATGGAGAAAACCAAGGTGGAATTCAAAAACACTCCAATTCTGGGTCCCTAAAAACTAGATGGACCAATTACAAGGCATTCAAATGGGCATAAAGCCATGAATGCTAAAAGGTGGGGCAAAGCAACAGTTGGCTTTGAATCATGCACTGGTTGATGCTCATGCTAGAAACCAGTAATGCCATGTCAAATTGCTAGAGCTTTCATTACCTGTTAGATGTTGGTAGTATGAGAAATCAATTACAAATTAGTCAACTTGAAAATTATCCCTCAAAATATGACATCATATGTCATATGAAATATGACATAAAATGTGTAGAATTTTCTTTTGTACAGTGGTACCTCGGTTTAAGAGTTTAATCCGTTCTTGGAGACAGCTCATATTCCAAAAACTTGTAATCCGAAGCTAATTTCCCCATAAGAAACAATGGGAAATGAATTAATCCGTTCTTGACTACCCAAAAACCTCACTTCAAACTAAATTTTATACCTAATTCATCTAAATAAACCTACAAAACTATGTTCAACTTATTACTTACCCTTGCTGATGACGGCTGTTGGTGTATGGAAGATGGTGAGGAGGAGGGAGGAGGAGAGGTGTTACTGTTTGGAAGGAGAGTCCCCTTCTACTATAACATCAGGCAGTGAGGACTTCACTGGTGTGCACTCTCTGGCACATTTTGCCTGCATTCCACTAGGACTTGCTTGTCTTACTAAGAATCTGTCTAAAGACCACTTGTCTTTCCCTACATTTTAACACTTGTCTATAGTAAGACATCACATTGTCATTTAAAAGGTCAATGCAACGGCCTGCTACAGCTTTATCTGGGCGAGTTTTTTCAACAAAACTTTGCAGTTTTTCCCATACTTCACACATTTTCTTAATCAAGAAGGGACATCCTCTACTGCCTCTACTCACAGCTACTTTCTTAGATTGAACCTTAGCAATGGCTTTCTTGAGACCCATGGCGAGATATATAATAACTTTTATGTTCAAATGGCCAAAAAAATGACAAACTGTAAATCCTTGTGAAGAATTCAGGCGGGATAGTCACTGGGCGCGAGACACTGGTAAACTGAGGTGCAATCGCCGTGCTACCACGCGCTAGTCGGCATGTATGTGTATCAACAGACTCGTGTTCCGGGGCAACCCTCGCCTTCCGAGGCAAATTTTCCAAGCAAATCCTGCTCGTATTCCGAAAAACTCGTATACAGGGACACTCGTATTCCAAGGTACCACTGTATTTTGTACAATATCAGTAAGTAATGGTTTATGACACAAAGATTCTCTTTACACACACCAGGATATCAACATAATTTTAGATGTACAGTTAGGGGATTAACAGTTAAAGTCCTACATATCAAAACGGTACAAAAATTAAACAGACCACAATGTCACCACTTTCATGTGAGTGAATTGATTATGCAGTACAGTATACATGTACTTATATATTTATTAGAAATAAATATATAAACTGGCTCACCTTGTCTACAGATGTCATGAGTACATTTCTGGCAGCGAGATCACGATGAATGAACCGTCGACTCTCTAAATACTTCATACCATTAGCGATTTGTACTGCGTACTCACATAAAGCTGCAAAAAATAAAGTATTGAATGTAGTGAAATGCCAGTTTCTGGTTGTACCTTGGAGTTCCCTACCACACAGTGATAGCTCCACACGTAAGTCACATCATCCCCCAGGGCTGGCTACAGGCATGTAGCAAAGTATGTGGAAGAGCCCATAATATGCCTGAAATGCTGCAGATGGGGGCATAAATCCTGGAGATGTCAAAATGATCCACGATGTCGTTTCTGCGGAAAGTCTCACCTCTCTACTGTGTGTAGAAACAGACTGAATCTGGGTGAGAAAATAGTTCCCAGATGCTGCAACTGTGGAGGTGTTCACAATGCGAGCTCGGCTGTGTGTAGCAAGAGGCCGAGTATGGCTGTTCTCCGGCCGGTGAATGTTACAGAGCAAGCAAGAGCTCTTACCCAGACACCGGGAGCACAGCAAAACAGTCTGCCCCAAACAGTGCCAGTGAACCGGACGAATGCGTGGGTAAAGGAGTCACCTTTACTTAGGCAGGCTCCAGCAACAAGCAGCCACGCCACCACTCAGGACTCCGGCAGTGACAGTGTAACGGTGAGTGAAGTGGCTACTGTGGCTCAGAGAGAGGGTCATAATAATATGGTCAAGGAAGTGTGGGCTGAACTTAAAAAAGTTGGTGAGTTCCTCCAAAATCTGGGGCAGAGAATCGAGTCCATCGAGGCTAAATTAAACGTTCAGGAGGTCAAGGAAAATCACAAAACGGTGAAGGATAATCAGGATATAGTGGTTGAGGACAAAGATGAAATATTGAGTGATGAAATGAAGGAAAGTGAAGTGTGTGTGAATGATGGTAGTCGTAGTGAAAGGAAGAACCCTATAATTACACATAAAATGAAGGAATCATTTGGGCCAATAATGGACATCTCAGGGCTGAAAAAATCTCTTGAGAATCGCAATGTCGCTTTTACTGGTGAACTTGGGAGGAGGTGGGAGATGTTATACAAGGTATGGCTATCATTTAGTGAACTTATTGGGGATGACTTAGGCAATGAATTGATTAATAATGGATCACCCTAGACTGAAAGTGTTGTCATGGAATGTTAATGGTTTAAGAAACAGGGTTACAGATGTTCATTGTTATGTGATGGGAAATGATATTGATGTTGTAGCTCTCCAAGAGACAGGGGATAGGAATGAAGGATTATTGAAATTAAATGGCTATAAAGGGTTTCACCTCTTCGCTGCAAATAACATCAGAGGCACGTCGATTTATGTTAAGAACTCCATACCAGCAGAGTTAGTAGAACCGCCATCAAAAACGCAAGGTATAGAGAGTGTTTGTGTTAAATTATCATTAAGGGAAGGGGAATTTATTGTAGTTAATTTGTATGTATCCAGGAACTGCTTCGACGCTAACTATTTACCTGACTGCATTTATACTAATCCTTCACTGGTCATTGGGGACCTTAATGCTCGGCACACAAGCCTTGGGACAGTGGGTAGTATTAATGCTAATGGGGTCAAGTGGTTACAGTTTCTACAAGATCATCCAGATACCTGTCTATTGGGAAACAATGAACCAACTCACATCAGGGGAGGACGGCTTGACTATGCCTGCGTTTTAAACTCTCAGGGGATTATGGGGGAGGCTCGGGTTGTTCGGGAACTACTTAGTGACCACTTTGCCTTGAACGTTGAATTACCACTGGGGAAAAAACAAGTCCACTTTCAAAGGAAAAGGCTAAATATTAAGAAAGATATGAAAAATTATTTTATTCAAAATATGGGAGATTGGTATCAACATTACACGCCGCTCTGCGTTGATAGTTTTTACGAGGACATGGTCGTGAACATAGAGAAATTAGTACAGAGGGAAAATAACGGGGGCAGGGGAAGCAAGACGCACGGACCTAAGAAATTTAAATATTCCAATGATCAGCAAGTCAAGGGATGGGAGAGAATGCTACGGGGTGCGCATAAAGCATGGTTAAAAAATGGAAGGAGGGATGAAGAGAAAAATACAATGTTGGAAGTGGCTAGGGAATGCAGTCAGGTGAGGAAGGAGGCGCGGGACAGATACTGGCAAGACTTTGCTCAGGCCATTGGTAATACTAAGAACCTTAAAGACATATGGAGAGCAGTAAATAAAGTCAGGGGTTGTAAGACTAAATTCATTGCTCACTCAGATCCAGGGAAAGTTGCTAATGAGTTAGTAGATAAATGGGCAAGTGCTGCTGGTATGGAGTCCTTACCTGCAGACACGAGAGTCACCATTGAGTCATGGGAAAATATTAGAAATGGAGTAACTTTATGTGCCTTAAATACAAGATCTATAGCATGCACTGAGATAACCCACGATGAGCTACTGGATGCTATAAAAAGTGGCAGCTCCACTGCTCCGGGAAAAGATGGAGTAACGTATGACATACTTAATTATTTAGCCGGTATGAAACCTAATCCCTTACTTGATTTGTTTAATATGAGTTATAGAGAGGGAAAGTTACCAAGAAAATGGAAAGAGGCTGTCATCATTCCTATCCCTAAGTCAAACGGAGGCTACAGACCTGTCTCCTTAATATCCTGCTTTTGTAAAATGATGGAAAGGATTTTGTTAAATAGGCTACTCTACCTTGTAGGTGATAACATGTCCAATAATCTCTTTGGTTTTATCAAAGGCAAAAGTACTGCGGATTGTCTCTTAAAGTGTTTGTCTAATGTGGATGACAATTGTAGAGTTTTTGTTGATCTACAAGGAGCGTTTGATAAAGCCAATGGGGAAGTAATCTTATACGAATTAGCCAATCTGGGAATAACAGGGAGATTGCTACACTGGATAAAGGATTACCTGCAAGGCAGAAAAGGTCAGGTGTATTACCAGGGATACATGTCTGAGGAACGGAGGTTTCAGTTAGGTACCCCACAAGGGGGAGTATTAAGTCCCACCTTATTCAATGTATTAATGAACAGATTAGCATCAGAGATGTATCCTCCAGGGGTCACGACGATCATATATGCTGATGACATTCTTATACAAGGCACTTCTGGGAACAAAATTCAAGATGCTCTTAACATACTTGGTACAACCTGTCACAAGTTAGGCTTAGTTATAAATGCAGATAAAACCAAATACGAGTATAGGAAACGAAGAAATATAACACTTACTCTAAATGGTGTGGAACTGAGCCGTGTACAGAAGTACAAGTATCTGGGCATGTATGTTGGATACACATGTGAGAGTAAAAATGCTGAAATAAATCATATCAGCACCTTATGTAAAGCCCGTCTGCATCCTCTAAAAGCACTGGCTTTTTCTGGTAAAGGTGTTGGGGTACCTATCTTGCGGATGTTATACATAAGCACTGTTCGATCCCTGATAGACTACGCAGCACCCGTATTGTCTTACACAGGCCAAGGCAGAATTCAAAAAATAGAGCTGATACAGAACGAGGCTATGAGGATTATTCTTGGATGTCAAAGAAATGCAATGATTGAAATAATGAGAATGGAATTAAATTTACAGAGTGTGTGTGATAGAGTCCGTGACATTAACACTAGAGTATCTATTCGTTTCATGCGGAGAAAAGGAGGGGATAAGCTGTTTGAGAGCGTTCAGACCTGCTTGAGTGACGTACACACTTCCAGGAAACTGAGGGAGACTCGCTATACGAGAGGATTAGCTCATGACCTCAGGGAATACGACGTACTTGACTGCTGTAAACCCTCTCGAAAGTGTAATATGTCTGCTCCCTGGAAAGTACAGAAAATAGACGTCGAAATTGTACCCCTCAAGGTGAAAAAGATTCATCATGAACCGGGACAATTACGGTGTTTGTATGGAAGCATGATATCTCGGTTACCAAGAGGCAACAGTTTACATGTATATTGCGACGGGTCGGTGGCGGAGGATGGCAGGGCAGGGTGTGGTGTCCTAATAAGGGATTATACGGAGTTTGGGACTGTGGACAGGATAATTGAACTCCGGCTTAGTAATTATATATCATCCACACAAGCTGAACTGCAGGCCATTCTGGCGTGTTTGGAGGAAGTACGTCATGACGACAAAAATGTTTTTGTATTTGTCGATAGCCGAGGAGCACTGGAGTCCTTAAACAGTAGAAACCCAGTCTTCATGTCTATAGTGGAGGACTGTAAGAGTCCTTAATAGCCTAACAGAGACCAGAGCCAGAACCTGGCCCTCTCACAAGAGGCACAGGGAACAGGGGGATTCTTTACTATCACCCTCACTAAAGGAATCATCCAAACAATAAGAGAAGCACAACAAACAATTGCAAAGTTCACAGAGAAAAGAAACATCAAACAACTCCGCAAGTGATCCACAAATTAATTACCGGTAAATACAAAAAAAAAAGTACTGTACCTATACTTACATGTAACAGATACATGACAAAGTTGTTTATGAAGGTGATCCAACAAGGACCCGAGGGGAGCTAGTTCAGTTACCATCATCAAAGGATTGCCAAGTACAATCCCAAACAACCTGTTGACAAAACACATACAGTATTTAAATTAATAAATTCGTTGAGATATTAAAAGTGACAGCCCATCAATAATGACAAACAAACTAGATGGCCGCCTACATTCCAAATATGATGAAAAAAAGAAAAATAATACAATCAAATAACAAAGAATTCATTACAGTATTTCAATATCTGTGCTTGTATGAAGGGAATATTTTTCAGTAAAATTTTTCAACATTTCTGAGAATTTATTAATATAGAAAATTTGTTATTTGTTGTAAAATAAATCAAACTTTATTGAAAACAATATTGAACTTGCAACAATGCATCAAGACAACTCGCATCACAATTTTGGTAAATAATACAAAGTACTAGTAGTACATCTGCCAGCAGTAAGGGCTGCAATACTAGTGACACCTAACTTGTTCAGTATATACAATACAGTACATCAAGTTCGTCTAGCCAGACATTCACATATAGCAGGAATAGTGGATTACCCTGTACTTAAATAGAGCAGCATCATTTATCTGACTATCCTCCTGACCCTTCTTCTGAACCTCAATCTTCTAATTATTCCATCTATTTGTTTGTGAGTCCAACCCCAGGCACCTTCAGGAGAGGCTTATGTACAATAGTTTAGTAGTCAGCCACTATGTTGCTGTGGCATGATCACTGCACCTAGTCCCATGCCCCAGTTGTGCTTTTGTGTTTACCCACAGCAAAGTCCTCCCCTCTCACTATTTTATATTAGTAAATATATATTGCATCCTGCCACTAGTTCATCAGGAAATGCAGGAAATCTGCTGTTCAGGGCTTCAACAAGTGGTGAAGTCAAGAGAAAACATGTTCTCAAAAATGAAAAAGTCCACAAAACGTGAACTTTTAACAAAAAGTTCAGCTTATAAAGGAAGATGAATCTGGAATGTCGTCTGTACCAAATACAAAGTCTTCAAATACCTCATACTATCAGTTATGGAGATGAAACTGATGAGAATAACAGACGATGCAATATTCCCAAGCGAATACCTGGTATAGAAGCAAGGAAAGGACAGGGAAGGAAAAGTCCACTGATACAACAACATTAGAGCTTTGAGGCAACAGATTCAGGTGTTATCCAACTACCTTAGTAGGACTATACACAAGGTATGGCAACAGTGGGGAATATGAAGATAGTTGTTGGGGTTATTTACAGCCCTCGCACTAAATACAGGAAGGCCAAGAAAGAGAGAGATATGTAATTGTGATATCAATGTACATATCTGAAGATATCAGAAAGGCAGCCAAAGGAACAAGGGAAGCAAAAGCAAGAGTTATAGCACTCTGGGATTTTAATCACATAGAAATAGACTGGTTAACAAAGTACACTTAAGTGGGTGACAAAACACTGCAAAATTAGTGGACACACCAAACAAACAAACAATGTGTGCCAATACATCAAGAAGCTGACAAGAAAAAGAGAGGGAGACCCACAGTATACCTGGTGTTTACCCAAAATGAGGAAGAGGACGACTTGTAATACAAAGGAAAGAAGGGAGGGAGGGAGGGAGGGAGTAAGAAGAGGAAGGGAGGAGAAGGAAAGATGGTGGCAGAAAGGAAGCCAAGGAGGAGAAAAAGGATAATATTGGTTTTTGCCTTTACTGTACTTACTTTACTATATTAGGATGTGAAAGTTGGTGCATGGCTTGAACCTCCTGGATAAAGTCATCAAGAGCCCCAGGCACATTGATTACATCCTGTTTCAATATTTTTACTGCTACCTGGAACACAGTAACACACACTAAGTTAAAAGTACATAAGTAATGAAAATGGGTAAATAAATTCACAAATGAGCTGATTTCATTATTTAGACACTTATGTTACCTTGGTGACCAGTTAATGGATTCCATAAGATATGTACTCCATTATATCAGGAGTCCCAATTTATAATCTTCATGCAGAGAAGTGTGTTTAAACTCACTTCCCCATTAAGCCTCCATTAATTCTGATCATCATCATTGTTGAAATATTTCCACTGTAGCCCTTAAAGTGCTGTCTCATCAGTATATATTCATCAATTTTATACTGTTAATGTGTATGATGATTACACTTGGTGTAAATGTTTGAATACCAGCATTGCCCATATATGGTTCAAATACTATACAGTACTGTAGCTCCCAGAAGTCACCATAGGTGACAAAATATTTTGGAATCAAATGAACTCCAGCTCCTGGTCTCCCATCATCCTATGATGAACATAGCAATTACCTAAACCAACATAAAGAACTTCACTGTATATATAACTTAGAATATTTTTTGCGTGTCCTCTCCAAGGCGTAAAGCCTGGATAGGTCGAAATGGAGGAGAAGCTGTTACCCTATGCAGCAAGTCTTCCCTCTCCACCTTGCTGAAATTGTCCAAAAGAAAGACAAACGCCAATACACTTGGTTCCAGCCCCGTCGCAGGAGCTGCCAGTACGAAGTTGAAGTCAACAATGAACTCTCTAAGGAGTTCCAGCTCCGGATTTTTATTCGAGGTCGATTCCTGAAGCTCGTCCCAAAAGTGGGTATGGCCACGAGGCAGCAGAGGTTTGAGATCAGGGTTTTCCTTCCCCTAAAAGAGCTGCCTTTCCAGGACGTTGAGTCCCATCTACCCGGAGCAGTTGGTTGTAAGGTGCCAGAGACACGAGCTCATGCATGAGGACGAGAATCTGAAGGGCCGCCCCTAGTTCTACTCCTGCAACAAACTGGTAGACATGCCGAGGGCCCTGCAGAACCTCCCGGGGAAGGACTGCGAGTCCTCCGGGGACTACCACACACAACACACAACTCAAATATTATAATGATAATATATTATAAAGATAAAATAGTAATTAATATTGTAATAATATATAACAATAATTATAATAATATATAACAATAATTATATTATAATAATATATAATAGCTTCAGTAGCTGGCAGTCAAAACTGACCTTACCTAGCCAATGTACTATACAGTAACATTAGTGTTGTGTTAGTTTGGTAATGTAAATTTTGAAGAATTATTTATTTAAAGATATACATTACTGTGCAGCACCGTATGCATCATCAGTCAAGAAGACAAACAGCACAAGGCAAGCTGAAATTTCAGTTTTAAATTACAGTACTGTACTGGTATACAGGGTATTTTTTTAATATAGTGTGTGTGTAGAAATTCAAATTATGTTTCTTGTGGTACAAAAAATTGCAAATATGTTCACTTTTGGACTTCCCCTGTAAAAATTCTGCTTATCCACAGGTCTGGCTTATCCGACAGGGGGATGGAGGGGGGTCCTTCCCATATAATTCGGATAAGTGAGCTCATACAGTATATAAAATTTGGGTATACAGAAATATAATAGGAGTAAAATGGGCTTGATACATCCTATTTCATAAAGCGAATTATGTAAATAATAAATACCATAATGGTATGTAAAGTTTCAAGTTCCCAAAAACTGAAGTTGAAAAACTCACATCTTTCACTTTGCCACTGGAAGTCGTCCATTCACCAATACGGACAACACCAAAACTTCCATCGCCTATTTTGCGTCCTTGAGCAAGATCCTGTCCAAAAATATGTACAATACGTGCTTGTTATTAATACTGCATATAAAATATATTCCTAAGAGCATTTTGAGAATAAAATAAGCTGATATTTAATAAAAATTACAGTTCAGTGATTCGGAGATGGATTGCTTACAGTATAAAGCTAAAATCATGGAAAAATGCTAACAGTAAAATGAATATACCCAAAAATACTTATCTAAATTATTATTCTTATCTATTATTAACTATTCTTAAAATTGCCACTTGTATAACAAATAATGTAAATTGCCTCTTGCATAAAAAATAATTTAATTAGAATTATTATTTTTATGCACTATTCTTAATACATACTACAATAATAATATTCTCTTGCACTACACCACCACTTCACTTGTCACTAAACATCTGCCATACATTATGAACGCTGCCGAGTGTTCTCTGGGACCTCAATCAAGCTTGCCCTGCTGGTCACCTCACCTAAACTTGACTGACCTTCCCCCATAAATCACACCAAGAAATACATTCCAAAATTTATAGACATTTTGCATTATCTGAATAATAAATCTCACTATGTACTCAAGTTCTGGTAATTCTTCCCTAAACTCTACAGATCTCTAAAATACGAAAACAAATCGCCAAAAGGATCACTAATCCAGTAACTTTTTAACTCGCCAAACCATGAATATCAAGACGTCAAAATATCCCATGGTAGCTCCTAAGCCATCTAATGAAGACAAGTGAGGACTTAACAATGTTAACTGTTCACCACTGCTAAGCCATCACTGTAACGATCAAAATGTGATGAATAGTAATGAAAAGAAGAGAGAGGTAGAAGCTTGAAAGGTGGAAAGGGATGAATGGTATAGAAGACTATAGGCTTAAAGGATGAGAGGTAAAGGAGTAAGAGGAAGCAGATGAGAGCCCCATGTACCAGAGGGAGTTTTCTATTACAGTATGTGTACTTTAAAACTTCCCTGATCGTGTTGCACAGCTTATGGATAAATAGCAAAACATTGCTGGTTGTGACACGTAGCTCAAGAGTTAACACATGTCGGCTCCCACCCTCTCTCACTAGATTGTTTTTCTCCCAGCCCCTTCATACAAGGTAGGCCATTTATACCCATTATCTTAAGAGCACATTCCTACTTTACCATTAAAATTCCCTATGTCAATTATTCTTATGGTCTTTGATATTGCACTGGTCTCATTCTCTAAATGATAGCATGATAGTAATTTACCCAGGCTACAGATTTTAAGTAAATTCTGCCCTTTGTGGATAAACATTTCAAAAATTCAACCCACAGCACAATTCTCCTACCACTTTATAGCAGGGAATGCAAGTCTAAAATTGCACAAAGCATAAGATTTTTCACTAATTTAAAAAATACCTACAGCAATGTCATTGGATAACCAAGTTTAACATATGTACCATTTAAATAAATTATTAAAACTTGAGCTAGGACAATTTCTCACCTTTTCCTGAATTAAGCATGTCAGACTTGATATTTGTGATTCATCAGCTGCAGTGAAAGATTTATTTTTATTCAAAGTGGAACTACCAGATGGCAAAATTTTTGACACTAGGTTTCTTCTCCATGTTGCTGATCTTTTTTTCTTGACAGTTTCCAGTAAACGCCTAGCAGCAGGCTTCCCAAGACCAATGCGTTCCAAATCTTCATTGTGAACATAGTCAAAGTGATTTAATCTTGTAACCTTCAAAGAGAAAAATAAGTTATAATAAAAATTCATTTAAAATTTAGCATTAACATAATAAGAATCAGCAGTCCTGTACAATATAAGTCAATTTCATTAAAATTTTATTCTTAAAATAAATACTGAAACTGACAGATAATACCTGATTAAAGAGTAATACAATACAGTGCAAACTGTACATGTGAAAAAGGTAACAACATTCTGCCTAAACTTCTAATTTCCCAGAAGAATTAAGGATATAACCACTACGGCACGGCATTGTCTTGTATCAATATACCACCATCGTATTTATATGAAAGAGCTTAGGATTATCCTACCTGAAGATCATCACGTATTCTTGTAAAAAATTGAGAGAGCTGTACTTCCACAAGTATACCTCGTATAACCTCAAGCTCTTCCTCGCCGACATCACCCATCACATGTGTTTACTCTGGAAAGAGATGAATATCTTTTAGCATCAATCATATACTAAAACGTATCAATTGGATTTTTGTATCATCTGGAAAAGATGACACTAAGCTATGACTTGTATCTTTGTCTATATCTGATGTGAGAACAAGGAAAATCAGTGGAGCAAGGACTGTGCTCTCTTCCTTCTTCCCATTTTCTCTCTCTCTCTCCCTCCTTAACTTTCTCTCTCTCTCTCTCTCCCTCGCTTTCTCTCCCCCTTCATCCCTCCCTACCTCTTTCTCTGATCTCCCTCCCTCTCTTTCCCAACCTCTCTCTCTCACTCTGTAATACTATATTCTCTTTCCCTCCCTACCACTTTCTCTCCCTACCTCTCTACATTTCTCCATCTCATTGTAACTTTCTCTCTTTTTCCCTCCTTACCATTCTCTCTCCCTCCCACTCTTTCTACCATTCTCTCTCTCCCTCCTTTCCTCTCTAAATTTCTCCCTATGTAACTTTCTCTCTCCCCTGCCCTTCCTCTGTACCTTTTTCTCCCTCCCCTTGCCTACAATTTTCCCACTCTTCATAAATTTTTCTCTTTTTGTTTTTACCTTTCTACATCTTCCTCCCTCTGCCATTACCTTTCTCTCTCCCTCCCTAACTATCTTTCTCTCCATCCCTCCCTACCTCTTTTTCTCTCTCTCTTGCTCCCTCCCTACCTTTCTCTCCCTCTCTCTCTCTCTCCCTACCTTCTCTCCCTACCTTCCCTCCCTACCTTCCCTCCCTACATCTCACCCTCCCAACCTTTCTCTCTTTCCCCTCCCTCCTCTCCTCACCTTCCACCTCATCCAAATTTACCAACAAATGAGAGAATACTGTTTAATTGTTTATTTAAAAAATTGGTTCACAAATGATGGTACTGTACATAAAACAAAAAATATGACATACAGTAAAGAGCAACAAAGATCCCAAGGTACTGACATCAGAGACAAAACCTCTAAAATTCTCTGGAAGTATCAAAAAGTGATGAAAGATATATACAGAACAGTTTGAGGTCTTGTGATAAAGGAGGCATGAATTTTTGTTAAAGAACTTGCAGTACCATACATCAATAAAGGCAAGGACTACATCACAGGGATTGTAACAGTACGAAACCAGAAAACTAAGATACCAGTCATATACAACCTCCAAGTAAATAATAGGAAAACACTTCAGGAATGAGAACAGCAATGTAACTATTGGTATAATCATAAAACGTGTGTGGTAGATGTGGCTATTAGAATAAGAGTAAAGCTCTAGTCATGGGTGAATTAATCAACTCATTACTTTGGAAAACTGAACTAATCAAAACCACAAAGAGAGATTTTGTAGTGCAACATCAAGGAGATTATTAGGGTTCAGAAAAGGTGCTCCTCCTTCAGTGTTGGACATTACCTTTGCCCAGAATGAGGCAGATAAAGAGAGGATAGATTTCCAAATAACAGTAGGTGCCAGTGACCATTTCGAACTAACAATTGAGTTTAAAGAGTTCAAAACCAAATAGAAAATATATTGTATCAAAGGAGAAATTATACAAGAATACAAGGATACAATAGGAAATGGAATTAAGGGCTAAATAAGTACAGAATATGATGGAATATATGAAACAGAAATGCTTAAAGGCAGAAGGGAGGTACAATTATGAACAAGAGGATAGTTCTGGCACAGACTATGACTAAATAGGAAATTCAAGAAAGCTAAAGCCATGAGCTGTGCATTATAGATTGATGCTCTTAAATACTTCTATTCAGCTTTAGTAGGCTCATTTCAATATATACTATCTGAAATAATTCAAAGCCAATGTTTTAACTATCTCAAAAAGGAATTACAAATCATAATAATGCCCACCAAAATGCTATGGGTGTTAGTGGCTTTGCAAGAATGTAAATGTAAATGAGAATGTTATGGCCTCCAACATTAAGGTCTAATCAATGATTCCTTCACAACCACATTTACATGACATATATGTGGCTCTTCTTATATGATAATATTATGATAGTTGGAACAGGTTTATAGATTTTACTTAGATCTACAAAGTTTTGTTGAAGTTTTTAGGGTATTATATTTTTCAGGCTGCTTATTGGCAATCCAAGGTCACCAGCTTCTTCGAGGGCATATTCTTTAGCTAATTTCTCAGTTCTGTCATGCATTTGGTGTCAAACATGAGATGGAATCCACCGCGACATGGTGTAGTGGTCTAGACCGTGTGCTTGGAAGTACCCAGTGTGTGGGGGTTCGAATCATCCTCATTTTCTCCTACTGATTTTATTAATAATAATAAATTATAATTTATTATTATGCATTTTAAATTTGGAAAAAAAAATATATCTCCTCTGTATTGTAAGGCAATTGTAACTACATCACCGAGTCAGGTACACTATGTTTGCTTCTCACTACATGCACGGCCCTATCGTGAATTTTGGGGGGTTTTAACAAGTTAATTGAGAAGGTTGTGGAGGCCAAAACCATCGGTAGTTTCAAAGCATTATATGACAGAGTGCTAGGAAGAGGCGACACCACAAGTGAAGCTCTCATCATGTAACTACACTAAGGTAATTACATGCTGGACTTTGTTACCATGTTATCATACAGTATTTAGAAAAAACGTATAACAGACTTGCCTTATTCGATGAATAAAGACATAAAATTACTAATAATGGGAGAAATCTTGAGCTTAGTAAATGAAGCCTCTTCAATGTTAATGGGAATCATTCATGTTGACTAAACACATAACTGATACAGCAGTATCAAAATCATATCCTTACATGACAGCTCATTCATACTTCAGGGTCTCGTCAAGAACTGTAACCTTTTTCACCCTACTGACAAATTCAAAGGCGATATCCAGCACCGCACTCATTAGCTTACATATATATGGGGCCGTCTATGTAAATTTGTCAGCTCCCGTGCCGGGTAAGTCCACTACGGGCTCACCATAGCCCGTGCTACTTGCCCCGCTCCTGTGCCAGTTAAGTTACGGGCTCACCATAGCCCGTGATACTCGGAACTTGTTCCGAGTAGCTGAATCTATAACAACATGTAAAGTTAACGTCGCCTCAAGCCCCCCATCCCCCTAGTACTCTGGGGTCACCCTCGAACCTCACCACTCCCAGTTTCCGCTCCCACTGTCAGGAGCCTCAGCGCTTCTCAACTCTCATATGACTCCCCACCTTTACTACAGATGGAAATTCATACCTTTACTTTACCCCTTAGAAGCTAAAGGATTTTTAGGTCAATGGTACGTTGTGAGTGCGTGAGGCAGGAGGTTGAGGAGAGACCTTGAGGGCAGGAGACACACCACTGAGGGACTCACCCACACACTCACCTCACTGATGTAAACAAACTTTTCCCCAGACACAACGTTGCCAATCTAAAAAAAAAGTCACTTGGTTATCTGTAATGTTATATGATTTCTGAGTTATAGTAGATTATCGGTAATTTACAACTGAACATTAACTAATAATTAAAGAAAATATAGCTGCATGTAATCCGGTAATAACGAGTAACTTTCCGCTGTTATATTTCTAGTGTACGCAACAAAGCCCAATAAAAAAACGGTAAGTGGGCATAGAACATGAAATATATTATATACTGCAAACCAAGATGCCCTTGTTATTTGGCTGACAAACCCTTATGCTTTATCCACGAAATACGATTCACTAAAACTAATTTGAATGCAGGTGACAAAGCGAATGAATGAAATGTTCTCGGATTCGTGTAATCCTTTACACCACCGTCCACGGGATGGGTATGGGGTGCATAATAAAGAAATGTTCTCGGACTCGTCTGAACCCTGAATTCCGCTTTAAAAATAACGCTCGAGTCATATTTCCGATACACATCGTATTTTATTTATTTATTTATTTATTTATTTATTTATTTATTTATTTATTTATTTATTTATTTATTTATTTATTTATTTATTTATTTATTTATTTATTTATTTATTTATTTATTTATTTATTTATTTATTTATATGCAAGAAGCTGCATTGGGTTTATGAGCGTACATTGCATTGAGGTTTTTCATTCTTGTAAAGCCACTAGCAATTCAATTTCGTTCTTTATTATGCACCCCATACCCATCCCGTGGGCGGTGGTGTAAAGGATTACAGAGGCACTTCATGCAATAAAATCAGCAGACTTCTAGATGTTACTACTACTCGGCTTAGACTCGGTTACAAGTATCTCTGGGAAGTCTTCATTATCTGCTGATGTAGACCTGATCAAATGTAAACTGTGTCAACAAAATTATGCGCACACCCTCCGTCACTATGTGATGGAGTGCGAAAAGATACGTGAATTTAGAGACGATTCTATAACAAATGTTCAAGAGATATGTAAATATTTAATTCAAAATAATCAGCTGCCAGAAATCATGGCCAAATATTCCCAGTTTGCTAGCTGTAGGTAGTAACTGAGTGATTGTAGCTTGTCCACCGCTGCCCCCTGGATGGGGGGCGGTGTGCAGGATAAGCATATCAACTATGAGTTAACTTAGCTCACCAGCTCAACAACACTAACTCTCTGCATATGTCAGTTGCTTAATTGAGAAACTGTACTTGTGGTCGGTCTCGAGCCCATTGTTGATGTGACGATGTGCATTGAATTTTGTAGCTAGTTCATCAAGATTGTAACTTACTTAGCTAAGTTAATTGGTTGGCCATCTTCTTCTTATGAAGAACTCTCCAGGCACCAAACAGAACGCCTTGAAAGAACCCAACGTCGTCTATGCCTTCACATGCCCACTTGGGAACTATCAGCCCCAAAGATCTCAGTAAATAGGCAAGACAATAACGTCTCTCTCTCTCTCTCTCTCTCTCTCTCTCTCTCTCTCTCTCTCTCTCTCTCTCTCTCTCTCTCTCTCTCTCTCTCTCTCTCTCTCTCTCTCTCTCTTTCTCTCTCTTTCTCTCTCTTTCTCTCTCTCTCTAGGCGATTAACAATGTACAAGCAACAGGGCTCTATCAAAGGTCATATAATCTCACACAACCAGACCATCACCAGAGAAATCTTAACAAGCAACACAGAAATTATCGACAGATACAACGACAGCAGGAGACTCCATTTCAGCGAGGCCCTTCACATCAAAAAGTCAAAACCAGCAATCAACAGCCAATTAACACATAATTACATTTTACCCAATTCAAGACCCCCGAACCAGTTGAAGCAAAAAAATAGCACATGCAATAGGCTTAATACCCATATGTCATTCATCTACTTGTTAACAAGAACACATATGTGATAACATACATCTGATCACAAATGTCATATCATTAATGCAAACACTCAAACGACAAGGCCGACGGGTACTTATCAACTGGGTGCCAAGTCATGTGGGAATAATAGGAAATGACATTGCAGACGAAGCTGCAAAACTTGCAACTAAGAGAAGAAATGTAGACATTTACATACCACAAAGTCTATCACAGATTAAGAAAGTAATTAGAAACAGAGCAATGCAAAAGATGTACAGTGACCACAACACAGCAGTTGCAACATCAGGATCTGCGGGTTGGTACAAGAATTCAACCAACTACGAACCACTTAGTTTGATGAAAGGGAGCAGTAGAGCAACAGAAGTACACTTACATCGCATCAGGCTTGGATACCCATGTGCATGGGAAATAGGCTTACAGGTTCCGGAAGATGAGAGGAAATGTCAACACTGTGGAGAAATGCCCGACAGACCACTGGAACATTATCTAACACAGTGCACAGTTACAAACCCATTAAGATTTCAACTTAGATTCAACAGAGCAGAAGTTGTTAAACACATATGGCAAAATCTTACTGAAGCGACCATACGAGTAATAAATACTCATACTCCGCCCAAGTAAAACAGAAACAAGCAACACTTAGTGGGCCAGCCAGAGGCTTAGGGCCCGCGCAGGAATATCCCTGCAAAAAAAAAAAAAAAAAAAAATATATATATATATATATATATATATATATATATATATATATATATATATATATATATATATATATGTCGTACCTAGTAGCCAGAACGCACTTCTCGGCTTACTATGCAAGGCCCGATTTGCCTAATAATCCAAGTTTTCATGAATTAATATATTTTCTCTAATTTTTTTCTTACGAAATGATAAAGCTACCCATTTCATTATGTTTGAGGTCAATTTCATTTTATTGGAGTTAAAATTAACGTAGATATATGACCGAACCTAACCAACCCTACCTAACTTAACCTAACCTATCTTTATAGGTTAGGTTAGGTTAGGTAGCCGAAAAAGTTAGGTTAGGTTAGGTTAGGTAGGTTAGGCAGTCGAAAAACAATTATTTCATGAAAACTTGGCTTATTAGGCAAATCGGGCCTTGCATAGTAGGCTGAGAAGTGCGTTCTGGCTACTAGGTACGACACACACACACACACACATATATATATATATATATATATATATATATATATATATATATATATATATATATATATATATGTCGTACCTAGTAGCCAGAACGCACTTCTCAGCCTACTATGCAAGGCCCTATATGCCTAATAAGCCTAGTTTTCATGAATTAATTGTTTTTCGACTACCTAACCTACCTAACCTAACCTAACCTAACTTTTTCGGCTACCTAACCTAACCTATCCTATAAAGATTGGTTAGGTTAGGTTAGGTAGAGTTGGTTAGGTTCGGTCATATATCTACGTTAATTTTAACTTCAATAAAAAAAAAATTACCTCATACATAATGAAATGGGTAGCTTTATCATTTCATAAGAAAAAAATTAGAGAAAATATATTAATTCATGAAAACTTGGCTTATTAGGCAAATCGGGCCTTGAATAGTAGGCTGATAAGTACGTTCTGGCTATTAGGTACGACATATATATATATATATATATATATATATATATATATATATATATATATATATATATATATATATATATATATATATAATGGAAAATTAATGTAACTCATTACGGGATATCATGGGATTCACAACAGGATGCTATTAGTTAGATAGGTGCCCTGGACGCTCCTGATGACGTCAGTAGGGGGGGGCGACCGTCTATAACAGCTCCCTCTGTGATTGGCTGTTGCAGGGAATGTCAACACTTTCTGTGAATTATATGCAAACTAAGAAATGCGTCGTTTTGCGCAACAACCTGTTTCTTTTGTACATGACTGAAGTTTCCATCTAATTGAATAATTTAGTCCAATAAGACGGCGGAACATCGTATCATCGATGTTATAATTATTTGTTTCACGGCAACGCCCACTGATGACGTCACAAGTTTGGAAACCAGGCCATTTTTCTATAACATGTTATATCCAGCAATATTTTATTTTATCACTTTATTAACACTTATTAATAAGTAACAGTTCACTATTTGGGCAGATTAAAGTTGAAGCAGAATGTCATAAGCAGGGTTGGTGTGCTGAACAAAGATGATATATATTGAGTAGGTGGAGCCTTTAGGTGATCCCTTCCTGAGATTGGGTGATGTGGTGAATGTCAACAAAGAATTTCTACCAATGAAATACATGCACAGGAAGTCTTACTGCAACACAACAACCCTTCTTATGGGCTGCTGTTCTGCTATTGATAGTGCAATGTCGAAGCAATAGATGGCATAAGCTGTATAGATGGCACCCTGTATTTTGCATTGGGTGTAATTTGATGCCAACAGATGGCATAAGCTGTATCTTAGAGCTACTAAGTGTTCGATTGCTACTAAGATTGTTGATAGTGTTCTTTTCTGTCGACAGATGGCATTAGCTGTATTATTACTACTTTCGAATCCTCTTTAAACACTGATCTACAAATTCCTTAGTTTATAAATAAGGTTTTATACATTGCTGGTATTAGGCAACAGATGTTTTTTTTTTTTTTTTTTTTTTTTTGAGATATATACAAGAGTTGTTACATTCTTGTACAGCCACTAGTACGCGTAGCGTTTCGGGCAAGTCCTTAATCCTATGGTCCCTGGAATACGATCCCCTGCCGCGAAGAATCGTTTTTTCATCCAAGTACACATTTTACTGTTGCGTTAAACAGAGGCTACAGTTAAGGAATTGCGCCCAGTAAATCCTCCCCGGCCAGGATACGAACCCATGACATAGCGCTCGCGGAACGCCAGGCGAGTGTCTTACCACTACACCACGGAGACTGCTATCTTCTTCAATTGCTATGAACTGCTATGTTCTTCAATTACTATTTACTGTTGAGGATGTCATCATATATAATGCATCGAAGACTTGCCAGAGTAGGCTGTTGATCCCATGCCTCTCTACGTGCTAACAAATATCATTAGCTAGCTCTTGTCTCAAACTAGTAATCCTTTATATGTTTTCTTAATATTAATTAAGATGTTAACGTTA